GGCACCGCAGGAGGAGGGCACGCAAGGGCTCCGAAGAAGCTCCGGGCGGGTTGGAATTGTGCTGAAGGGACGGCTAATGAAAGGGCAAACAAAAGCGCTTGCGAGGAAAAACCGGGCTGGCCAGGAGTTCTGCCTCGCCCGGTTCATCGGGCTGGGGAGGGGTTGCGCACCGAGGATGACAGCATCCTACGCGGGCAGCGCCAACCCGGCCACAAAGGGCAGGGCCAACCGGCGGCTCGCCGGCCCCTGGAAACAACGGCGGCGAAGTGCGGAAGCTGGCGGCGCAGTTCAAATTCCTGGGCCTCCATGACGAAGGTTGTGGGAGTTGTTTTCTTCTTTAGGGAGTTCCAATAAAAAAAAAATGTATAGAACTCAACATCTTGGGATTCTAGGCTCTTGCAAGCCCACCATGCGGCCCAAGCGCACGCCCGCGCTCACGGGCGGCGGCCGGATGGTTGGCGCCTGGCTGGTCGGCCCTGCTCGATGCTGTCTCCTCCTCTTTTGCCTTCACGGCGTCCTTGCCTGCGACGTGCCGGCACGGGCATTGGCTTGCCAGCCTTGCAAGCCTTGCAAGCCGTGCAAACTTCCTAGAGGCGCTTGTGAGGTGGACGTTGTCCAAGACGTACATCTTGGCGCGAAACCTGCACGGGGGTTGTCAGCGCCCGCCTGCTGGCGACAAAGATTTTTAGCTGGCGCGCCGGTCCGGATGACGAGACGGCGGATGAAGGCGGCACCAAGCCGTGAGCTGCGCAGGGCATGCCCCGTGATGGAACAGAGGACAGGCAACATCGCTGCGGCGGCGCGCTTGGACTCGGAGCTGCGCTAGACATCTGTGCCGCCGGCCGCGGGCAAACTGGCAAGGGCACCGGGCGCGCAGCATCGCGCGGTCTCGGCTGCGGCCGTGGTCCTGCTGCGGGGCCGCTGGGCGGGGCAGCTCCTCGTGCTCCTCCGGTTCCTCACGTGCCTTGGCCAACCCGCGGAGGGTGTAAGATGCGCAGCAGGTAGTTGGCACGGGGAGCGGCGCGCAGCAGCAGTATCAGCCACGCCGACTATAAGCGCGGCGCCCGTGTGAACGCGTGGCTGCCGAGAGGGGACCCGAGGGTGCACCAATCCTTGCTTGTTGGGTGGCAGGGACACCTGCTGGGACGTTCCGCGGCCCCGAAACCGCAACGCCTGCATGGCGGCTGCGCGCCGCCGGCGTTCGAAGCGCGAGTCTTCCCCAAGTTGACCTGGACTCCGGCATGTGCCTGCAGGCTCGCCTGCAGGATGTTGAAGATTGCACGCGCGCGACTGGGCAGCGAGAGGATGTAGCTGTCATCCAAAAATTGCGAAATGGACCTCGCCTGGCAAAAGCACTGCCTGCGTGGCCTGCAACGCTGGGTGCTGCACAAGCGCAGAAAGGCAAGGCATCAGGGGGTCCCCCTGTTCCCCCCCTTCGCCTTGTTCGACATGCGCCGCGCCGTTTTAGTCGTGCCACAGGTACTGCGAGGCCTGGCCAAAAAACTGCCGCACATACTGCTACTGCGCATCTTTCTCACTACTGTGTTTCTCTTTCTCTATCTCTTGTGTTCCTCTGCTGCGGTTGGAAGAGAACGACAAAGAGAAACATAAGCATAACGTAAAATACTAACAAATATACGTAGCACATCAAGACTAAACATTAAAAACAAACAAACACAAAACAAACCAAAACCATGAATAATACAAAGAAAATGCAAAAGAACAAGAACAAGAACAATAAAGACAAAACCAACCTGGCAAAGAAACAGCAAACAACAAAAAAATACCGAATCAGATAAACCAAAAAAGGAACATAAACAGAACACACAACAATGCATACAACAAATGAACAAATAGCACACATGAAAAAATAGAAAGACAGAACACACAAAAAATGCATGTTGAGCGAACAGTAACATTGACACACACACACACACATGCACGGACAAAGAAAACAAATGAATCAAACAAGAACAAGAAACAAGAAGAGACATAGAGAGACAGAGAGACAGAGAGACAGAGAGACAGAGAGACAGAGAGACAGAGAGACAGAGAGACAGAGAGACAGAGAGACAGAGAGACAGAGAGACAGAGAGACAGAGAGACAGAGAGACAGAGAGACAGAGAGACAGAGACCGAGACAGAGACACAGACAGAGCCAAAGGACGAGAACGAGAAAGACAAAGAGAAAGAGACAGAGACAGATAAAGATGAAGAAAGAAGAGAAAACTAAAGAAGAGAAACACAAAGAAGTTAAAAACAAAGGTAAGAAGACAAGGACCAAAGAGAAAGAAACATACATAATGAATATAGATAAAACACATATGTAAGATACAGATGAGAGAAAGATACAAAGAGAGAGAGAGAGAGAGAGAGAGAAAACACAGTACCAAGAAACACACAAACAAGAGAAAAAGAACAGGATAGACAAGAAAACTCAAAGACACAGAAGAAGGAGGGAAAGAGACAGAACAAGATAAAAACGATAAAGACGATACATAAGACAAAGAAGACAAACAAGAAAAATCAGAGGTAAAGATAAAGACACAGGACACAACTAACTCTAACATGGTTTCAAACTTCCGCCCACTGGCTTCGCCCTCTACTGATCATCAAGAGGGTTTTGAGCCTCATCGAGAAATCAGCTGACCATTGGCGCGTTGGGATGCTAGACTGAATCATTCGCAAGAACATGTCCCCCTCAGCGCCTGAATCGGCCAACAGCCTGCGCAGCTTTGGATTCCAGCATGGGTCCAGTTCGAATGGTCGCAGTCTTGAGTTGAGCTCCACTGACGCGTGAGCAATGTTAGTGACCCTCGGTTTGAAGCCCTCTCGGCCACTGAATGCTTGGCGGGTGTGAAAGCGTAGACCAAGCAAACCAACAAAACAATGAATCTACAACACATGGACACATGAAAACCAACAAGCTTCAGCACGCTCACACATAATGTGCGGTATGGAAGCATCCAACAAGATATTGCCTACCTCGCGCGATGTGCAAGCGACTGCACGGGCACATGCCACGTAATTCCAGCAAAATCCGTCAGCTAGTTGGGCTGTCAGACTGCGAGTCAGCTCAGTCAGTGCGTTTGACCGTTGAGCCTGCAAGAACACATTGCCGGCCATGAAACGTGTTGCCTTTCTTTCGAGATGCAGCTTGTGTTTTTACACATCACCTTTCGCCGACGCGTAGCGCTGCAAACATGGCTGCTTTGTGGTGTAACGACCGCTGGGCACTTCGACACAAACAATGGAAGCCTGTCGCATCGGCGGCGGCGTCACCGCGGCAATGTCTGTGGCTGGGCCGTCGTCCGTACGGAGTGATGGCACTTTCCTTCCAACGCCAAGCAAATTTTCGAAAGGACTTGCTCGTGTTCATGAAGTTTGTCTCGAGACTGGGCGCGGTGAAGTTTGGCTCCGCCGCGCTTAAAGACAGATTCCGACGCAGCAGCTCGGCTGCGGAATTGGTGGTGCGAGTTCCCGACAACACCGCGACGCAGAAGAGTTGTCAGCAAGGTGGTGTCACGTGCGACTCCGCGCTTCAAATTGCAAGCTTAGAAGCGCAACGCACCGCTCTACCCAGGATTTGACTTCGCGCGGCCATGGTTCACGTGCGAGTGCCCACATCTGGCCTTCAAAGCCATGAAGGCAGACTTCCGGGCTGAGATTTTCCAGCAGCTGCCCAAGCTGAGTGCCAGGCTCAAGGCCAACTGGGAAAGAAGCACAGGGAACTCCAGGCTAGCTCATTGTGGGGGTTCTGTGCACCAGTTTTCGGCTGGCAACCCTGCCAACCCAATCAGCGGAAATCGTTTTGGGGCTGCAAGGCTCTCAGCCTGCCAGCTTGACCACTGAAGTTCCAATAGCACTAGCCTGACGCTTGCAGACCGATTGATGCAAGTTGTCTGAAAATATGCATTTGTCTTGCGCAGAAAACTTTGCGTTTCCATGCAACATGCAAACCCGAAAGCGTCCTGCGATACGGACCCCCCCTCACTCTGAAAACACGAAGAAACATAACCTGCATCCCGGCGTTGTTTCCTTTGGGAAAATTAAAGACGCGTTCAAATAGGTTACATCAGTAGCACCAAACTTGGATTCCATCGCGACTTTTGCTGGTGCGCATCTGCGTGTTGTTGCAAATCGGCCCGCTTTGGCGTCATGGATCCTGAATTTTTGCTGCGCGTATTCTCAAATACGCCCAACGCGGTGTCTGCCCAATTTTTCAACAAGTGGAACCTCCAGCTCGGCCCCGGCGTCGCTTGCGACCCGTCGCTTGATCGCAAGGCGGCGCAAACGTCGATGCCAAAGCGTCGGCTTTGCTGGGCGCAAAGGTGGTAGGGAAGACCAAGCCCCCTAGAAAACCCCTACTCCCCTCCCAATCAACGTGGAACCCAAAAAGGGCGTTCTTCAAAAGGTATGGCTTTTGGGGTTTCATCTTTCCGTGTCAATTTGCAGGAAAGTAAGGGCAGGTTTCCCAAACAAAGCCGGAAGGGACTCATCAGAGTGCTGGGCAAAGGCTTCTTTCCGTGGCAGCATGTTTTCATGCGCGCGACTGTGGCTAGAGGCATCGAATTATTGCACTAAATTCGGCCTTCAGCTCTGTGACGTCTAGCCCAGAGTGGTGCCATCTAATTCCTGCAAAGGCTTGAGTTGTGCAAACGTCAGCAACTGGTCTTGAAACAACATCAAAAACCTGCAACCAGAAGCAAATAGAATTGCAGCTGACTGCAGGCTCGGATTCTGAACGCCTGAGCCAAATCATGAAATCGAGTTGTTAGTTGACTCAAGCCAAAGATCCCCCGACAGAACACCACTTTCTACCTCCCCCACCTTCCAAGCTCGAACATTTATCACTTGCCCCGTTGCACCACAAAAACATATATGGGCCACATGGGTCTGAATTTTGACTAGGCCCCTTGTGGTGGGCATCATTCAGGTTCGGATCCATGTCCACCAACCACTTCGTATTAAAATTGGCCATATGTGTCTAAGACTTTGAAGGGAATCCCACTGAAAAGAAAGGAAACTACTTCACGCCCCGCCATGCGCTCTGCCTCAACGCTTGCTCACGCGGCGCATCACGGGTGAACGAGGACCTCCCACGCAGCTTGGTTGCGAGGAGCAGTTTGAGACGCAGCGATGTGGACCCAAATGACCAAATGTTGTTTTTAGTTTTTTCTTTTGGAACACCAATTTCTAAACACCTGAATATTTGTTCGAATAAAACTAGTCACAACAAAGCACTCATGAAATAAGTCTGCCCTGAGAAGACCACCCTCCGAACTCGGACAATGGCACAGCTTTCCTTCCTGGCTTATCCTGACGCAAGGAAATTCTGTCTTCGATTTGTTTTTCACTAACAGCATAAACACATGACCGTGTGCCTGAAAGCTCAAGGCTCACGATCCAAGGACGTAGCACTCAAGATGATATGCAAGCTTCAAGGCTCTAGACCAGTCCCTTGCATTGGCTCCACTCTGGTTGGATGTCCTTTCTGAGACCACGGTGGGCTGCACAAACTCTGTTCGTTCTGTGCACAAAGTGCCCGACACACTGCGTTCTCCTTCTTGTCCACCTCGGCATGGAGAGGGGGCAGGGTGTCAAAAGCCCTGGTTGTGACAAGGCCCCCTTCAACGGTTGGCTTTGGCATGTGCGCTTTATCTACAGGGCTCCTGGTTTGGGATGTGTACCTGTTCAGGTGACCCCATGAGACCCGACCTTGACCTCCCTCCGATTCACAAGGAGCACACGCGCGCCTGTGGCTGAGGCAGGTGGGGATTCTCAGCAGTTATCGACTGGGTGGGATGTCGTGGGGTACTTCATCAGAGATCATGATTTCAACAAATAAACTGTTTAGTACTCGTTTAGTATAATATGATTCCGATACATGTAATGTGTCAAAACCAGGGACCTTCTTCGCATTGGCAACTCCTTCTTGCTTCCTTTCAGTGGTCCTCCAAAAGCTTTCTCAACCATCTGCCAATCTTTTCCTTCAAGCTGAACACCGACTGACTCAAAACCAACACCTGGTGTTAACATGGTTGATCCAAACCAATGTAAACAACTACAAAGGCGGGCACGGCTAATTCTGGCTGGGACTGTCCCTTACTAATCTTCACTTGCCCAGGTGTCGATTATGACTCAACCGGTGGGAGTTCCTTGTTAAGGAAGCCGACAAACGAGTAACACCAACTAAACTTATCTTTCCAAAAAAATCTATACAGCCCTGAATCTGCGGAAGTGAGTTGCTGATGGATGTGCCAATGCACATGGAAACTAGTTGAGGAACGCTTTCCTCAATGAGAGGGGCAACCAAAATGCTCTTGGCTTCGCAAGCGAAGAAGGTGCACCCTGCGCTGGATTGTGGAAAACACCCCTTCCCTTCCTGTGTGTAGCAAGAGTCCCTTGGTCGCCCATTACATCCTCAGAAGGATAAGTCTTCTTATCTTTAGTTGGTGCTTCGGATTTGTAGTTTGGCCCTGGTTCTTGTGGGCTTAAATGGAAAACCATCCCGTTTCACCACCAAACCGCCCATCCAAACCACTTGGCAGGAAGCTGAATACCAATTGGTCGGTCTCCTCGAGGCCTTCTTTCCCCAAAAAACGGGTCGTGGCATTCTTTTCCATGGTGCAGCGGCCCTAAGAGCTTGGGATTGACAGGATTGAGCAAAGGATTGACTGGACGGCAGCACCGGGCAATCAGTGCGAGGCCCCAACTCCCGGCTGTTTCTGCATGCGGGCTCAAGGGGAATTGGAGGAGTTGGGACATGGCCGGGATCCACGGAATTCTGAATGCAGGGTTTTCCATATTTTTCATTAAAAGATCTTGAGTGGCCCAAGAAGGTGATGTTGCAAACCACAAAATTGGGAAATATAGGGACAATGGCCAAAAGGAGGGGGAGCTGAAACCCGACATCGAGTGGCCACCATGGGCCCGCCGTACCGAGCGCAGCCCGTATAGCTGGAGGTGTCCTCAAATCAAAGCCCGATTGACACACCGGACGTCAGAAATTCTGAAAGGATCCGCGAAATCTTGATTGCCGTTGACCCTGCTGGTGGGTGGTCCGAAGCCCGTCCCCTCTCCGCTTCAAATACTTGGAGCTTCCGCTCCCAGGTACCTCGTTTGGAAAAGATCTGCTCATCTGCACTACTCACCAACCAGAAACAAGGAACCCTCGGGGTTCCCTCACCATGGAAAGAATTTGCTCGTTTTACCCCAAGGCGAGCCCGCAAACCAATTAGTTCAGCTTTGTTAAGGCCGCAAGTCTTACGAGTCCAAAACCTGAGCTATGGTGGCTTCCTTGTGCCAAGTGAGCTCGCCAACGCACACAAGTTGGCATTCCGCTTCAAGCGCAAGCGGAGCCCTAAGAGTGTGTGGTCCTGAGGTGTGTTCTGGGGGGGGGGTAGCTTGTCCATGCCAAAGCTGACATAATTAAGTAAAGAATCTCTAGCTGGTGAGCTCGTTTTACCGCAAGGTGCGCTCGCTATAAACTATGCGGAAATGGCTTCATAAAAGTCAGTCTCTGGACGTACAACTCGTTCCCTTCCGTCCTCCAACGCTCAATGTAGGCTTGGTTTTTCACTACCCCATCGGTTGTAAGCCCCCCCCCCCCCACTGAGAAACCTCGAAAAAACAGAACGCTAGCCGCTATTCGCGCCTATTCGGATTGGGGGGCGGCCCTTGACAACCATGCCACTGGTTGGAGGTTGATCCCAGGTGAGGTGCTCGACACTAGGGCGATGTTTTTGCTAAAATTCACTGAACAACGATCTCATTCTCAAAAGGGTCGAACTAATACTTTCAAAAATCAGGGTCCCGTTGTGTTCACCAAAGGCCACGAGGCATATCGCGGTTGCCTTTTGGTAGGTGCGGAAGTGCACAGCTAAGAAACTCATTGAAAGCAGGCAAACAAAATGCGGCAAGAAACTCAAACGCACAAATCCACTCGAATACTTGGCAACCCTCAAGGTTCTACCTCTCTCCAATGGAAGCGGACAGAGTTGCTTAACAGGACAGTAGTCTTCCACGGCCCAGATCCATTGGAAAAAAGAGAATCTACTCGACCCCTCACTGACCCCACAGAGTTTGCAAACAGCCCCCAACAAGGTATAGTACAGGCCGACAAGATGAGAAAACACCCAGAGAATTTACCCATTCCTTCTTGAAGAAAGTCATCTCCTTACCTCACTCGGGCCCAACATGACTTTTAGGATGCCTTTGCAGTGGTCCGGCTATTGGGCCAGCAGTCACCCCCAGGTTGTTGGTTAAAGAGGACCAGCCCCAGCTTCCAACCTAAACAACCCCCAGCAACATTCAACAACACGACCCCTCAGCTTCCTTCTAGTTGGTGGTTTGAAATGGTGGTTTGGGTTCAAACCCCCAAACCAATCCAAACCACCAACAAACTAAGGCTTTCCTGAACCCCACCGCGCACCACTCTCACAGGCTCGTACATGCAACCCATGAGAAAAAGCGGACCCCTTGCTTCAAACGAGCCCGTTGCTCTTTAGATGGTCAAACCAAAAAGCAACGTAACCCCCTCCCCCCCCTCAAACAGAAAGAAAAAAAAAACAAGTGCAATGAGCTTTGACCTTTTGACATTGAAGTCGGAGCCTCCAAGTTCAGCTTGCAGCGTTGCAGCATCCGGGTAGAACCAAATCCATGGGGGTTGATCAAGAGGTCCTTTGCATGGGATGACCATTGGGGGAAAAAACACAACAAATATGATATTTTTTCACTAAATGGGGACAGTTTCCCAGGCAGGGTCAAACTGGGGCAGGGAAGATTGATCAACCCCCAAAATACCGAGGCAACTACTCTCGGCCCACAACGCCAAGACTCGTAGAAGAAGCGCTCAGGTCCTCTGACACGTTTGGAATCTTCCTCTGCGCTTCGGTTGCTCACGTTCACCTGGCACGCTGGCGCGACTCCATGATTTAGTGGGGGACCCGTTAAACAAACAGGATTCTCACTGTGCCACTGACAAAAATATGTTGGTCAAACTGACCGCCAATTCTGGGTCCCTGCTTTTCAACGTTGGTGGTGCAACAAATACCAAGCCAACAAGTCAAGCTGTTGCCAACAAGTTAGGTCCCTCTTCTGGCTTGCAACTAAGTGGAGACGCGTGCTGTGTCACCGCCATTTTCCAAAACACACAAGGTAAAACAGGTCAAGTCCCGTGAGGGAACAAACAAATACCTGCTTGGTACAACCTGTGATCCATTCAGTCGACAAATTGAAAATGCGTTTGTTGGCAGCAACCAAAACGCAAAGTACGTAAAAAGGACAGACCCCCCCAGCTGGAGCTTGGGAAAGAAGGGAAACCAACCTCAAAGCCAGAGAAAAAAATAGAAAAACAAAAAAAACAAGAAGAAAAAAAGCAGAAGCAAGCCCAGCAACCGCCCCCAACAACAGACACAAAAAAAACACACATGCCTCACTGAGAAACGGGGGGGGTGGGGCCTCGGTTGCCGCCGGGCCACCAGCGGAGGCCGAAGGGAAGGCTTGCCGGCCGGCTCCTCCGTTCTCCGGGAGAGGGACAGGTCCGGAGCCAAGTCCGCCAGCAAGCCTCCGCGGAAAGAGGCAACGGGGATCCGGATGCATTACACACCAAAAAATTGCAGCTTGTAAAATGGTGGTGTGTCCAACTTGATTTTTTGGGGAGAAAAAAAAGCATGTTTCAAGTGGTGGCAAAAGGGAGATCTTTTAAGGAGCCCTCAGCAAGAGCTTGGGTATCCTTTTGGGGGAGGTCCAAAATCGGGTACCCAACAGCCACCAGTGAAGAGGTGGAGTGTTAGTGGTACTTCTAGCTCTTGGCTTTTGTGTTGCCACAAGTGTCGATCTTGCGAACAAAAACGATCGCCGTTCGGAGATTTTTAGGGAACCCCTTCTATGGTTCAAACTGAGTGGGGCAATTCCCCAAACCAAATAAACACTCACCTGGACTGGGCGAGTCTTCCTGAGGAAAACACCTGAAAAGAAGAGAGGAAGCAGTTCTGCTAGAATCATTAGTAAGCAACCCTCTTCCAACCGGATCCCACTGACCAGACGTGTGGCGCAAATTCCAGCCCCTAACCCCTCCTTCCGCAAAGTGAGACCCTAGATGGGGGAAGCAGGGGGGGGGGAGGGCGATTTAGAGTTGCTACAATGGCACGTTCTTGTGTTCTTGTTTGAATAACACTTGAGAGGTTCCTTCCCAGTTTCCAGCTGATCAACACACCCTGAACCTCGCCATTCTTCGAATCTTTGTGACAAACATTCCCGTGTGAGTGTGTGCGTGTATTTGATTGTAGGGACCCTTCTCACCTTGGTTTCAAGGGACACCCAAAGAGAACACCGCTTCATTTGGGTTGGATTTTTGGTAGGCTACCCTTCTCATGGTTTTTTCAGGGACAGTCCTAAAGACCACCACCTGCTCAGTTTTTTTGGCTTGGGTGCTGGTTTGACACACGGCATGCATTCCGCGCATCCGAGTGGCCCTCTAAGGAGGTCTCCCTCGCCATTTCCCGGACGCCGATTGGCTCAATGCGCAAATGCCAGGCGTGCAGCACGTGGGCCATGCGCCGCCGCAGTTGTCGGCCATAGGCCCACCGCGCCCACCTGACAAAGAGCGCAAAAAAAATTCACGAGCACTGTGTGCGTTTGGGCCGCACTCAAAGTGGCAAGTTTTGGCCAGGCATGCGTTACTTTTTGAGGGTGCCACCCTTTTTTTGGGTTGCTTAAGTGGGAAGCCAAAAGAAACACCGCCCATTGTTGGGGGACAACGCCAAATGTCCTTTCTGAGACCAGGACAAAGGCTGTCAAGTTACTTGCCCCATTGGCCATGTTCTCCAAACATGGCACCGAGGGACCGTTCTGTTTAAGCCCGAAGGGAAAACACAGCCACTGTCAGACTCCAGCGACTCCGACCCGCCGCTCGCCTGCCAAGTTGGCCTCAGCTTCGAAGAAGCTTGAAGTGAGAAGAAACGGACAAACACCCCCCCCTCCCCCACACCCACAAAATAGCTGCACCAATTGCTGCAATTGCCCAGCTGGAAATCACGAACTCGCAAGGACTGTCACGGGACCTGAACAATTTCCTGTGCTTGTCCCAACTCGTGAAAAGTATAAGGGGCGAAATAAACATAAGGGGGATTTGGGGTACTATAAAACCAGTCTAAGCGATGATCATAGGATAGTAACTGTGGTATCTGTTCGCCCCTCATACTGGCTTGGGAAATTGTAAACAGATACCGTCGATCTGCAATCCCCCCGAAGAAACACCCTCATGGGTGGGGTCCAAATCATTCGCAGAGTACGGTTCTGCGCTAACTAGAGGGATAACTTCATCTTCAACCCTAGCCATTCAGTTCTCCAACCGCCCATGTCTTAAATACTGAAAACTACCCGGTATTCTAGGCATAGCTTCAAATGCTTTTCAGGGATCCTTCTTCAGGAAAACCACTCAAAGGCCGGGGACAACTGCTGATTGAAGAGGGTTGAGGATTGAAAAGAATGGGTTGACTCAGCCGCTGAGGGTCTGGTTTTCTCGGTGGACCCCTATGAAGTCCACCGAGAAGGCCGCGTGAGATCGGCTGACGAAAAGAATCCGAGGGGCGGGTACCTGCTGCAGCGCCGCCCCAAGCCCTGGGCAAAACGGCGACATCGAAACCAAAAACAACAAGAGGTAGCGAGCCCTTCGGCTTCTGGTTAGTAGCTTCCAAGCCACGTGTTTGTCAGCCCAAAGAATAAATATATCGGACTCCAGCTTTGCCATTTCCGAAGGGCACTCCCTTGTGAGGATTGCTTGCACTTGAGAGGCACCCGGTCCAACTTGGGAAGCCCTCACTACGCAAAACCTTGGGCGTTCTTCGCCGGGCTTCTTGGACGATCAACGGGAACGCAAACTTACCAGTTGGTTGCAGCTGAGCCGGTCTTTGATGCACCAAGGGAGCTCTTTGCCCCGGGAAATCAACGATTCTCCGCCAGGATGCCGAAGAACCGACCCGCTGGGCCGGGCTCTGAATTTCCTTTTGGGGTGTGAAAGGTGCAGTGGATCGAGTCACCATTGCGCACATGGATAGTTTGGGAGGAATGACCTCCCCAATGTGGATAGCTGCTGTAAGTGTTGGTGTTTCGTCTTGGGATAGTGTTTCGTCACCCCCCCCCCCCCTGCGGCCAAGACTTGGGATGCCACTCATAAATCCAAGCAAGGAACTCGGTCCAAAAGACCACCTTAGCATTTGTTTCCTGGATCCGATGTCAAGCTGGCGAAAAGCAAACTGGGCCAACCTGTTTATGAACCAACCGAGGCAACAACAGTTGTCCTTGGAGTTGGAGAAAGCCTCGCAAACCCACGGTTTGGGAGGGCAAGACTGCGGCAAGAGGACACCACTGTCCCTTCCATACCCTCCCTTCCATTTGCTTAAGACCCGTGGAAAAAATAACAACAACATATTTCCAGTAGTGATAGATTCCCTTTAAAACCAACAGGGGGAAAACAACAAACATCTTGAGCAAATGGAAGCTCCGCATTCCAGGGATCCTTCTCCCTGGGATCCTTTTTTGGCCCCCTGCCCCCCCCCCCGTGCCGGGCCTCAAAGCTACACGGAGCCATGCCAGCTGCAAGACCTGCTGGCCTGTGACTCCGAATTGCCCGAAGTGGGGAGAGGGATCCTTTCCGTCTCCGTTTGGAAGAAACCCAAGGTTTGGTTGCTGTTGAAACCCCTGCAAAAAGTTAACTTTTTTGGGGGGGGTTTAGTGGAAAACACTTAAAGATCCAATCCATTAGCAGCCAAGAAGGATTCTGGTACCAGCACCCCCCAACATGTTTTTTTGCTTCTTTTCCCATGTCCAAAATCCCAAGTGCTGCCGAGCAAGCAGGTCTTTGCGGGGCGGGGCCGCAATTTTTTGGGATCCCGAGTGGATGGGGGTTCCGCTGGTTTTGGCGTCGGACGTGTGAAATTTCACTCAGCACCCACAACTTGCTTTTGCCCAGGTCCAAAATGCCAAGTGCTGTCCAGCAAGCAGTTCGGAACTGCGGGGGTTGCTGGTAAATAACACTTCCGACGCTAAAACCAGTGGAATCCCAATCAACTCGGGATCCCGAATAATTTTAGCATCTGGAAAATCACAATTCCAAGTGCTTTGGCGTGTTCCCGATCTGTGAAACGCTATTCAACCAGAAACCCTTTGAAGGACACCTAGGCCAACCCTTGCCGACCCTTGCTTTGGAGGCCCTCCAGATACCAAAAACATGTTGCAGTGACCAGTTTTGTTTTGAAGACCAAAGGAAGACATATCCTAGTCATCAACCATGAGCTTATGAAAGGCTAGTGTTTCCTTTCGTCCCATGTATTGTCATTGGCACTTTGACTTGCGCCCAAATAGAAATAGAAGAGTTGAGATAAGGAAGCTCGCCCAACACGAAGGAAACCAGGGTGCCTGCAACCTTCGGAACCGGCGTACACGCAAGTCCCGAAAGGAATTGGCCCCGATGGTTTCCCTTGAATATCCCTTGAATCCAACTAGTTGACACCCTCAATGCCCGCCGGGGCCTAATTCAGAACTCCTCCCCTTTTTCAGAAATGAACATCTACACCCCTAGTGAAGGAGCCCTCTAATTGGGACCTTGGGAGCCCAGGTATCAGGCAAAGTGGAAAACGCAAACAAGAACGATCCCATGACAACTGTCAAGAAATCTGCCAGTTTAATTTCTCTGTTACCATTGCTTCTTTGACAATGGCGTCCCAAGAGCGCAGGAGATCTCTATCCAATGATGAAGAATAGCTTTCAACATGGCGTGTCACAGTCTGAACAAACACGATTTGGGCTTCTTAAAATAGGGGAATCCTCCAAACAGGTGGGCTTCTTTTGGTTTCCCTAGAACACTCCAACAGGGGTACCAGCATAGGTGTCCTTTTAGGGGAAATAGATGACCCTGGTAGATGATTAAACCACAAGGTAAACCAGGAATCGCCATCTGCTTTTTCTACCAAAACAACCAAAAAGGACACCTATGGGTACCAGCCCATTTGCAAAAAGTGACGCTGGGCCGATGCGCCTTGTGTGCGGCCAAGCTCCGCAGCGCGGGTGACCTAGCCACATTTTGCGACATACGAAGAAACCCGAACCTGGCAACAAACATGTTCGCATCTTGTGAGCTTGACAGGTAAACGACCTTTTCGCTTCTGCCAAGCTAGTCATGGCAAACGTATCATCTCTATGACCACTTTGTTACATTAACTAGAAACAAAAAAAACACGTGATCCTGATATCGGCAGAGGCCATAATGCGCGGTCTTTCTGTACTAATTCATGTTGCTGCCATAACCGGCATCCACAATCTTGCAATTGTGTTGTTTGCTGAGTGGCGCGACCCAGCGAAGAAAATATCATGTTACATTGGCAGGCTTCCAGTATTCATCCGACCTAACCATGTCCTGGTGTTGTTCCTTTTCCAGGTTCATTCCCATCAACATCCTGCAGATGCAAAGGTCAGTACAGGCCGAAAGACCGGACCTCATGAGATGGTTGGCTGTTTCTTCAGGGAGAACGAATGAAAAGGAGGCTCTAGTCTTTCAAACCACCCGTTGCCTTTGTCCGCTCCAACCCAACCGAGGTCCGGCTGCTTCCAATCAAATTAGATTGAACGTACCTTGTAACATCCAAATTTGGGTTCTCCACAAACAATGTCGGCAGTCGGGTTTGCGGGGATGTTCCCCAAAACTCTAGGGGTACCTTCCCCATTCTTTCCACAGATCCTTCTTTCTAGAAAACCTCCGGCAACCCAGGGAAAACGGCCGGTTTTTGGAAAGAACGATGGTTGAAGAGAATGGGAAATCAACCCCTAGAAAAGCGAGCGAACCAAACAGATCGACTTCCCCCCCCCCCCCCCCGCGACTTCTTTCCACTGAAAAACGTCGAGTCGCCTGCTGCGCCCGCTGCACTTGACGCCGCAACGCCTCGAAGAGGCCCTGCGCCAACCGCGGAGTTTCTTTCGCGGAAAACCAACACTAGGTGTCTAGATCCTCCAGTAGAATAAGGGTACCAACTTTTTTTCTGTCTATTTTAGTAGGGGAACCCTCCCCCAAAAAAGGGTAAAAGGGCACTACTGGGGGAGGGACCTAGGTGTTGTGTTCTTTGCTTCGGCTTTCGTTTTCTTTGTATGGGTTTAGGTTGACCCCATTTCCGAATGCTGACTCAGCTAATCCCCAGGCAACAGACAAATCAACGAGCCCTTTCATTGCGTTACAACCCCTCCCTTTTGGGATTGTCTCTTTTTAAGGGACCCCCAAGTTGGTGAGTTTTCCTTTCGGTGTGGCGATAGAAACCCACCAAACAACGTGGTTTCCACTCCAAACAAAAAACTGACCCAATGGCTTGGTGTCGAAGGAGGGGAGCCCTCAACATGGGGTTGGGCTTACTGTTGGTGTCCATTCAACAGGTGCACCAACCCCAAAAAGGCAGAACAAATGAAGAAACCTTTGAAGCGGCCGGCTTCCCCTTGATTCCCCTTGAAATCAGGTGGAAGATACCCCACACCACGAGGGGACCCGCATGATAACGGATCCACAAATTTTCTGTATATATATATATTGAGATACTGCAATTCTCAACATCGAAATAGGGGAACTCCTCAAGGACCTTCATGGAATTGCTCGTTTTACCTCAAGCGTATGACTCTTGCGCAATGGAGGCCAATAGTAGGCTTCATTGCGAGAGACGTTCCAACAAGCAAGGAAAGGTCTGCAAAGAAGCTGGCAACATGATGCTTAATTATCCCAAAACCACGATGAACAAACAAGGAACCGAGCCTAACGGCGGTCCAACCTTTCCCTTTAAGATTTGTTTAAACATGAACCATTTGGTATGTTTTGAATTGCTCTCCTCCAGTTGAAGGTGATGATTGGGGGGGACAAATACGGGAAATAGGGGTCAACTATAGGGAAGCCAAACTCCCGAAGCCTCAAAGCACAAACCAACTATATAAGTCAAACCCTAAACCTACGGTATGGTTTTTTGGATGTATGTTGAATCTATCCGTACGTGCTTCATATTTACAATTCAACTGATGTGACTTGTCGTTGCCTTGCTTCTTCCTAGAGGTATGCCATCATCAAATTCTAAGCGCGCCACCTCATGCCAAATACCTAATTAAAACAACAGCTTGCACGAGTCAAAACGTATGTCAAAATTTGCACTAGCGCACACGTTTCCGCTCCCATGCAGTTCCGTGCTCTTTGGACCTGTCTCGTCCGATAGCGCGCCTCGCTAGCGCGCCCGGAAAACCGCATACAAAACCATGTCCAGAACCTCTCGGCTGAAGCCTCTGCCGAAAGTATCACTCAAGAATAACATGGAAACCAAAAGAAAGCCTGGCATTTTGAGGAGTCCAAATTCCCTTGACATTTGGGAAATGACGCCACTGCACCCGACACCAACTCGCCGCGTGCCTCCCTCCTCTGCTGCATGGCAGCCTCCCGGAGATGGCGCCAGGCGCCGAAGACGTCCAAGAGACCTGCGGACGGATTGCGCCCAGTGGAGTTTCTTTCTCTCCGCGCGAGAGCGATCGAGAGCGACCACACTGCGCCAGCCGGGACAAGTGGAATTTGCGCTGGAGCTTGAAATGCGAGGCCAGGCCATCGGGAAACGGTTGGCCTGGGATTTGTCCCAAAAACTCTCACAAGAAACAAACTCTGGAGGTTTAGGGCTCCTCCCATATTTCAAGTGGTAACTTCGACTCCCCATGCTTTTTATAGGATTTTGTTTATGCAGCCGGAAGGATCGAACTTAAACAGACTTGCGCTTGAGACGAAGTCAACGCCTAACTCCTTCCCCTTCGATTGGAGCGATCACCCGGCCTTCTGGCCTTTTCGAAAGGGATCTTTTGACGATTTGATCTCAAGCAAATGGTGAACTGTCTCCCACACAAACTGTAAACGAACAGGGCGAGGACATCAAGGACATCACTTTCATTTGGCCTGAAAAAAGAATGATCTTTAAACCACCTTTGAAGGGGATGTTCCAGGCGGGCCGGGTCAACTACCCTGCCCTGGCATCACAGAATCTGCAAAGAGCGGTAGCAATAAACAATACCTTCCAACTTTGATGTGGAACGCTTCAAGCCGTCATTTTATTCTCCGGTCAACCGACCACCAAACATAGCTTAAGAAGAAGGGGTTTAACAAGGTTTTGGGGGGCCCGGTGTCCTTTGTTCGTTGCATGCGAGGGTAATCGTTCAAAGCAGCTTGTAACCTGTGACCCTGGCAAAGGATTTGGCACCCTTTTGGCTTCCATGTTTAGTGGGGACCCCACAAAACAACAAAAGAGTGTGACTGAACAACAACCGGTGACCCGGGCAAACGATTTGGTTTCCATGTTCGGAACAAAACAACATGTGACTGAACAACTGAGGCAACGGGCAGCGTTCAAACAAGTAAACATGGCAAGCATTCTCTCCTCTGCTCAAAAAGAAGCCGTCCACTAAGACTTGATCTCTGAGGAACCAAAAGAGCCTGGTTGAATGGAACTCAACCATGTCGCGCTTTTAAGTACCTTGTTCAACGCCCCACCCCCTTAGGGGCAAATGTTCAAAGACCTCCAAAAACCAAGCCCTCCAAAACTGACCCCTGACACCCGCCTTTTGAACGTCACCCTCTGCTCCAAACACGCCCAAACGTCCCACCGAGACCTCGTCCCGGTTTTGGAGAAAAAAAACGTCCGAGGCGCCGCGGTGAACTTCCAGGTCTCGTCTCTGGCGCTGCAACTTCTGCCAGAGCTGTGTGCACCTCTGGATCCCTTCCCGGCTTTGGCCCAAGGAATTTCGTGTGACGATCAAGACCACTCGGTATTAAAAATGGTCGACCCAAAATCTTCTGAGTTTCATGTGAGTCACAGTGAAAACCGATCGGTGCCAAAAATTGTCTACCCAAACCAAGGCAAAGAACTACACAGCCGGATATCCGCACGTAATTATAGTTGGGACTGTCCCGTACTAACCTGCACTTACGTCGGTGTTCAGTATGGCTCGTGTTGTATCCCAAGGGAAATGGACCATTTGTTTAAACATCCAGGAGTCACCGGCCCCTCCATGTTGAAGGGCAAAATGCTGCTGGGTGTCAAAATTACTGGTGTGTGTTTTTATCAAATGGTGTGTGTCCTGGTTGTTGGGGGAAGTTGAGAGCTCGCCCCATCCCGAAACCGAAAGGGATCATAGACTAGTGGATTTGTTGACCAAACCTCTTGGCAAAAAGGGTTATAAAACAGCTAACGGGTAAACCAGGAAAAAAACTCGCCAACAGCCATGAGGCTGTGACGGACTGCCCCCCCAAAAACAAAAAACAAACACATGCTAGCTTGTCCCACATCCTCCGAAAGTCAAGGAAAGTTGGTGCCTGGCCAAGCAAAATACATTTATATCGTTGAAACATCTGCCAACATGGCTGGTGTGCTTGACGGGTCCTTGACGAAACAAAAAATTGACGGATCCTTTTGGATCTGGACATGTCGAGAGTCCTTTGAAACAGGCCTCCAGCCAGCATGGCCCACACCAACAGCCCCCCCTTTCAACCAAAAACCGCGCGACTTACAGGGCTCGCTGGAGGAGAACTGCGAATGCTTCCCTTGACACCACGAATGCTACTTTTGGAGGCTCCAACTTGAAAGGAAGAGTGGATCATGTTTTCCGGCGAACCGCCCGCCCTTGAAACTGCCACTTTTGGAGGCTCCGAAACAAATTGGACATGGATCGAGTGCTACCTGCCCCATTCTTAACCCAGGGATCCGAATCTTTCTAGAAAACCTCCTGAAACCAGGGGGAAAACGGCTGGCTCTCGAAAAGAAGGATGCTTGAAAAGTCACTGCTTTTTTTTGTTGCTGCTTGTTTCAGTCACCGTTGCTGGCTTTAGGGGCAAAGTGCATGGGAAAAAAAAAAGGTTTTAGGGGCAAAGTGCAAAGTGTAAAACAATAATAATAATAATAATAGTAATAATAAGAAGAAGAAAAAAAACGGGGAAGACAAAAATGCAACTGGCGATCCAGGACTGCCGTCAGCCAAAGGCCAGGGCGCAGCTGGGCGGCGCTCAGCGCATGGCGCCGAGCCGAACCGGATCCGTCGGAATCCGGGCCTGGCGAGGCCCGGAATCGGGCTGTGCCAACGAACGGAACTCTTCCATTTGCTTCAGAATTGTTTTTCGTTATTTTTCCCTTGTTGGTTTTAAAAGGAATTAATCACTACTGGAAGTATGTTCTTTTTTTTCCCGGGGGTCTTAACCAAATGGAAGCCTTCCATTTGGTTAAGCTCCCGGGGAACAAATAACATACTTCCAGTAGTGATGAATTCCTTTTGAAACCAACAAGGGAAAATAAAATCATATTCTGAAGCAAATGGAGGGAAACATGGGGTGAAGTGGATATATGGCTGTGGGTCAAAAACCCGTACCCAACATGGCTTGCCCTGGTGAATGCAAACAAGGACTACCTGCAGTCCCCTGGCTAATTTTGACCCCTACCCACATGAAGCTTCCCTCCAGGGGTCCGAATCTCTTTTCAGGAAACCACAATTCCCCACGTTGGAAACAGCGTATCGGCAATTGAAAAGAAGGATGGTTGAACGGAATGGAAAAGGAAAATCAACCCCTACATAGGGTGATCCCTGCTTGGGAACGATACTCAGACTTTCTTCTGAAATCTTCAGGTGGATCTGGGGGGGGGTCATCCCCAACCTCTCAAACCCTAGAGATGTACCCTGGAAGTAACTATGGAGGCAAAAAAGGGACACCATCCATGGTAAAACGGATGTAACGCGACGGTGAAAGGGATGCAAAACGGTGGTAAACACATCAAGTTAAAGTTAAAGCAAACCTGTGGAAAGATAAAATTGTGGTAAAGAACAATGGAAGCTATCCAAATTGACATGGCGGCAAAATAGAAGAAACATGGGGGCGAAACGAGGGCAACATGGAGGTAAACTGGACATGAAATGGAGGAAAAAGGAGGTGACACGGAGGTAAACGAAAGTAAAGTTGAGGTACAATGGAAGTAAAATTAAGCTGAACCAAGGTGAAATGGCGGTAAAATGGAAGTAACGTCGAGGTTGCGTGTGTGTAGCATGAGCGGCGTTTGAAAGGTCTTCAAATCCAAGTCGCACGGAACTCTCATTCCAAGCTCTGGGAGCTTACGCGCGGACAGGTTAGCTCACGCACCTTCTCTTGCGCAACCTTGCGCGCGCCACGCGGCCGTACGAGAAAAGCCCCTCACAAAACCCAACGGTGTTCTTATGCCGTATGTTTGTCGCGCAAAAAAGAAGAAGCAACCACTTGCAAAATGCACCAAAAAAAAACTTGCCAGCTTGGGCACTCTCCCTGTAAAGGTTGGCAAGGGGGACCTGAGCGTGCCACAAGAAGCTGACCGACAAACTGCGCCACGGCTTCTTGGCTCCAGATGAACCAGGGCGACGCTTGTGGGAAATCCTGACGACAGGAGGCCCAAACAAGAACAACAGGGCTGTGAGAAATGGAATCCACTTCTGTGATACAACAAAAAGGGTTTCCCAAAGACTAAACCCCCACATAAAGGGGGAGATTCCAAAAAAAAGAAGTGGTTGGATAAAATGCAAGTGATCAACCACAACCCTGAACGAACATGTCGCCAAATGGTTTTTGGGGCTTCGCCTTGGAAGCCCCCGACTCATGCCGCAAAAGCGCAAGAATTGAGTAAGCGCGCTCTGCTTCCTGGGTGTTTTGGAGCCCTGGCAAGTGGGCGTGAGATCAAAAGCGGCCAACATTGGTAAACAAGCGGGCGCTTTTTGTGAAGACAGGCACCTTCACTTTGAAGCTGGTATAATCACAAGATGAGATGACACAGCTATTCACTCATCCAAAAGACACAAGTCCAATCTGACATCCTTTCATATCAACAGCTAAGAGCAGTGAGCATGAGCTCTTCATTTATGGTGCCACCCACAATGAAATCACGTTGATTGTGAGAATGAGCTTTCATCAATATAAACGATCAGCTTATCACAACCAATCTCAGCTGCTATGATGTGGGTCTGTGCCAGGTGTACGCTAGCTGGCACAGCCTGGGCTAGGTTCCGGTCAATACCTCTAACTGTTCTGATACTGGCTAGGCTCATGGCCGAAAGTAAACGAAGGCAAGACTTAATCAAGCGTTACAAAGTGAGATTCATGACACAAGAGTACATTGGGTTGACCTACAAAAATCCCTGGCAAATTACCACAGATCTTGGCGTGACCGGCAGAGCGGGTCCACGTGCAGACGGCCCGCCTTCCGTCTGTGTGGACGCGGCCACATTCTGGATCTGCGTCTGTGTTGCGCAATCCTCCTGGGCCAAAACGACTTTAAGTAGAAGGCCGAATCATCCATCTCACCCCCCTCGTGCAGGCTCAATGTACCCTCCAATCCGCATAGAACCTGACTTTTGGGGGGTCCTGTTTTGGACCATTTTCCTAAGGGGACAATGTCCCTATCAGGCTCCACGTCAATTGCTGGGAGGGTCAGCCTGGGAAGTTGTTTTTTCCCCGCCAACACCACGGGTCTCCCCTGACCAAACCCAACCACAAAACTCGCAGGGCCAATTCACCTTGACCAAAGCTGAGGGCCTTGGGGCGTCGAAAAGGCCAAGGATCTTATGGATTTTATGCCGCTGTCACCGCGAAAACCCCGCATATCTCCGACTTAACTAGGAACTTCACTTCGCTTCATTGCTTGAACATTTTTATCTCCGACTTTAAATAGGTACTGCGCGCTCATTCTTGAAAGTCTGATTGCGTTCTGAGTTCGGGGGGAAGGAATCTCATCCGAGTAAACACAAGTCGTAAATACTACCTCCAGCGCCCGTGAGTGTTGCCCAAGTGCATCCTCATGACTTTATCACATTCTAGAGGAATCCCTGGGTGTCATAGAGAAAAAGGCCCTCAACTTCCGCCTAGAAAAACGCACACAAATCCAGTAGTGATACATTCCCTTTAATTAAAACCAACTTAAGAAATCAAACATATTCTTAAGCAAATGGAAGAAATCCACATTTCCCACAACGACTCCGTCCGCTTGCCGAGTGGCGCACAGCGTGCCACGCTCGCGCTCGCCAGGCGAGCCTTCCGAGCACGTGACGCCGCCCGCGCTCGGAGCGGGCGCGGGCGCGCGCTCCTGCTGCGCAGTCATCCACTCCGTGGCCTGTCGATGCTCCAGACAACTTGCTGGTGCTCACAAGGGAAGGATGTAATGACTAGGCCGTCCAGTAGAGAGGTTAGAATAGACGTACCAACTTTTTCTGTAGTCTATTTTAGTAGGGGAACCCTCCCCCAAAAAAGGGTAAAAGGGGACTACTGGGGAACCTAGATGTGGTGTTGGGGTTCCCGACAAAAAGGAAACAATATAAGGAATCGTTTCAATTCTCAGGGACCCTGCTGAGCACCAGCAAGACAAAGATGTTGTTTGGAGTTGGGGGTTCCCGAAATGGGAACATCTCGACTTATGCTTCTTCTTCTTCTTCTTCTTCTTCTTCTTCTTCGTCTTCTTCTTCTTCTTCTTCTCCTTCGTCTGGTTCCTGTAAGCTCCACACTTTTGCTTGAAGGGCGTCGCGTTTAGGCAAACAGTTGCCATGGACTCATGCAAGGGGAATCCTTCAGGCGAGCAGGCTGCTAGCTATGTCTGTGCTTTCCCCTGGTAGGCGAAAATCAAAGGGCTATTGCATGTCCCAACAAAACATTCAAGATCCGGTTGAATGCCAATGAGACTGTTATGTTTGATCCTTCGTGAAAGGGACACTCCGAGAGTGCAGCATATATTTCATCCCTCATGCAACAAGTTCCAAACACCTTGAAAGGTAATTGTGGTCGTAGGGCACAGGACCGTCTGGGGAAATCGGGAAAAAGACGAATTCCCAGAATGGTTGATCTCTCAAGAAAGGAAAATACAAGTTGACCCCTGAATCTGTGCAAGTCGTAATTGGAAGATCTTCGGACGCCAAGTACCTTCATGGCTCGGTTCCTTTCTGCTCCCCTGCTAAAAGTTAAAAAAAAAAAAAAAAACTTTTGGGGCTTTAATACGGGAAAGCCCATCAACGTTGGCAAAAAAAGTTGCTCAGTCCTAACCTCCCATGGCAAAATGCGGCAAAAAGCTAAAGTCCTAACCTCCCATGGCAAAATGCGCCGAAGATGGGTCAAACAAATTCCCCCCGCCCCGCGTCCCGCCGTTTTCCCCGTTGACGTTTTCCGTCGGTTTTTCCGGGTCTCGCCTGGCTTCGGCTCTGCAGGGCTGCGATCTGCCTCAGAGGTTCTGTGGCTTGCCACCCGGGCCGGCAGGAAAGGAACCCCGCCTTTCCGTGTCTCTCTTTCTTCCTGACCCAAAAGGAGACTCACCAATTACCCATTCTCCTGTTTTCAATTGGAAACTCGATGGTCCTTTTTGACCAGCGCCACGGGAACTATGCCTTCGAACAAGTTCCTATTGGGTAGCGGGAAATCCGCTACCAGGCGGATAAGGATGAATCCAACCCAACCAGATCATGGCTGTGGGAAACGGAATCCACTTCTGTGATACAACAGAAAGGGTTTTCTCAAAGACAAACCCCCCATATATACATATATTGATATAGGGTACCCCCCCCATGGACCCTGGTTTGGTGCATATGTATATATATATATATATATATATGAGGAGATTCCCAAAAGTATCACAGAAGTGGTTGGATAAACAGGTCTCAGGTAAACACCCAAAGTGAAATCCTGCAGGGGCAACCAAAGAGGAAATAGCTGGAATCCTGGGTCTTTTGGGTGACTATCTGATTCTGGCAAGGCTTTTTGGGGGGAGTGACTCTTGGGGAACAAACCCGGACTGGGGAGATCCTTTGGGGATCGATCCTGGTGGCAAAGGGATTCCTCCGAGCTGGGGAAGCAAACCCGGAGCGGGAAAGAGCACCTTTGGTTGGAGGGAAATCCTTCCAAGCCTATGGCGTCCTTCCAACCAAAACCTCCATTCGGGAATTCCTTCCAACGTTGGAAAACCGATGGTAGATTGAACCACCAGGAAAGGCAGGGCCCCCTATTTTTCCAACCAAGCAAACAGAAAGCCACCTATGCTTCGCAAAACCAACAAAACACAGAAGGTTGCACCAGCGCCAGAGTTGCCTCTTCAGCAGGTCGCCCGGTCGCGCGCCGATGCGGAGCCCCTCCTGCGAGTCTTTGAGTGTGGCTTGCTTTGGGCCTTTGGGATGCAATCTTGTTGAACAATGATGTTGACCCGGATTAAGAAACCCCTGTTTATTAATTTGCTTTAGTGGGGATTTATCACTTTTGGAGGGGAACACCCCCAATTAATCCGGGGTCAGCTTTAGGCAGGGAAGTCCCCAATTTTTTCCCGCCGAAATGCTGAGTGGGACCCTCAAAAAAAGGGCACGAACAGCTGGCAAACTCTCGCGGAATTTTGACAGCGAAATGGCAACCAGTCCCAAAGGTCAACTTGGTGCACGACCTTTTTGGGCTCGGACTTGCTGAGTGGGTTGCTTCTTCCGCGCCCACAAAATACAAAAAGTCGGGCGCCTAGGTTCCCTTGAGACCCTAAACAATGCAATTTGCTGCCAAACAGAGACTGCCCAACCCCTAGCATGGCAATGAATTCTGCTCTTTGAACTTTGCAGCCCAATAATGAACGCCACAGAACACACCTACCTATTGGCAGGGCCCCCCACCCGCTGTTGTATATTTTCCGCCTCGAAACGTGGCCCACTCAAAGTGGCCCGAAGCACGTGGAACGAAAGGCCTGTACATTTCGAGTTGGGGGGTCAGCACCCTACAGATGCTGAGACAGCGAGCGCAACATACGTGGACATATGACAGAAACATAAATTGTCCTCAAAGGGAACCAGGCCCACTGACTTACGTAAGGTTTCGCCGCAAAATCGAGCCCCCAAAAAACCTTTGGAGAGATATCCTTTGGGCCCCCCCTGTTGCTCTTAGCTTCAGCAAACACTAAGAGTTGCCTCCAATAGAGAACGCATAAGAAGGCCCACATTCTCTTCTTCGACCTGTGAATTGCTGCAACCACTCTCAAACCACACCCGAAAAGCTGCACGCATCGCCAGCCCAAGCGCGCAGGACGACTTTTTTCAACTCACCCCCTTGGTGCTGAGAGCAACAACAGCACACGCGCTGATTCCGCGCAGAAGCTGCGCAAAAGCACTGTAGTTGTGCAATGCTTTCTGCAGCTCGTTTGTGACATAAGAGCCAAAGTTCGACCTCTTGGCTCCGTGAAGGTCTGTGTGCCGCCCTGCAAAGAAACCCGGCGCTTTTGCGACTAGTTCACTCCACAGCGGCTTGCAAGAGCCGCCCAGCCTAATCCGGCCCTTATCATCCAGCAAGTTTCCGCGAGTGTCCTCGTGACAGCTTCGAAGAACATGCATGTAGTCCCTGATGGCGTTAATTCTGGTTCTCGTCGTCTGGAACGACTCTTCGGTCAGCCAAAGAGCTTTGGCCTGTTCTTTCACCTCATTCAGTGCGCAACACCGCGCGCAGCCAGCGTGTGATCTTCTTGGTGGGTGCAAGCTTTGCCACAGAAAAATGCAAGGGATACATTTTGGACTACATGTTCTTCGAAACATCTGCCGCTGGCCCACAAGCCCACATGCCTTCAAACGCCCGTGCGCCCGCTTAGAATTTACCCTCGTGGTAAAGCCTTCATCTGCGCGCTGACTCCCTTGGTTTTGCCTTGAACCCTGACAGCCTAAGGCTGCAACGCGCTCAAACAAAGTTGACCAAAATAGCACCAACGTAGCCACGCGTCAGTGCCATCCATGGCACACTTGGCTTCTTTCAACTTCTTGAGCGCAGCAACCGAAGCAGGCGCCACCTCCACGTGCACTGAGTCCTCCTTCTCACGCACGGTGAAGCACACTTCCGGCAACTGCGCAAGAACTTGTGTGCAAAACAGATTGCGGCCAAGCTCACAGTTCTTGACGGCCCTCTGGGTCTTCTGCGGGCTTTTCAGGCCCACATGTTCGTTGCCACATGGCGATACAAACCAGAGCGGGGAGGGGGCTGGGCTACGCTTGCACAAACGGGGAGAGGCTTTCTAAATGGCGCCTACGTCTTGATCCTCGTCACACTACACTCACATTATTGTCCGCAATGCACTCGCAGTGCCTACTAAGTACTTTTGATTTCGCCGTGGGCTCGCCTGCAGTGGTTTAAGCCCTTCCTCTTGATTAAAGGCGGCCCCCCGTATAATCAAGTTTGTTTGCCGCAACTCCCAGCAAGTACGCCGCCAATACTAAATCAGATCAGAGCAGCATCAAAAAGCTCCCTGAGAACCTTCCGCGAGAATCGTGAAAAACTGCTGTCGAGAAGAATGGCTGGAATGGGGCTCAAGGATCATGATCGGAGAAACATTTGTGGCAAAAAAGCTCGTCTGAGACAAGCGCTCTAGAACCACCACGTGCACGCGAACTGTGCCAGCTGCGGGAAGCTCGCCCGGGATCATCCTGGGAGCGCCCGGCTTCTTGCCCTTTGCGCGGGTGAAGCCCCTGAAGACGGCCTGCGTGATGGCCAGCAAAGGCTGTCGAAGAACGTCTTGTCTTACCACAACCTCGGAGGTCGGACAGGCGATGGAAGCAGGGGCGCAAAAAACGGGACTGAAAAAAAGGCCGCTCGAAGAAGTCTCAAACACTTCTCAAACGCCTCGCCTACCTAATGCTGTGAAACACCTCCTGGCCAAAGCCAGGTGGGACACTCAAGCTACTAGTGACAATCTCATGCCTAAATGCCCAAACAATACTGTCGCTGAAATACTTTCGGTGGAGCAATGCATTCACAGCCCGAGCCCGAGCATCATCCGCAAGCTGAGATTGCCTGTCAGTCTTCAGCTTGGCATTGCTTCTTGTCCTGCAGCGATCTTCTTTTCCAATGTGCTGGGAAAACCAGCTCTGATTTGGCGAACTTGGGTTCAGCATCCAGCAGTCTTGCCATAGCCTAGCCCCAATATTCCCAGCTTGACTCTAGTCTCGCTGCACCACTGCCGCACCTCCCCGGCAATTCTTTCTGCACTCTTGCCGTCACGAGTATGTTCATATTTTCATGGTTGCCTGCAAAAAATAAACTAGCCAAACAACGCGTGCCTATGTGCGCGGCAACACGATCCTTGGCGCGCTGGCTGCCTGACCTGCCTGACTGCTTGCTGCACGTAGCTGAAGCTGACGCGTGCGCCTGTGCGCTGACCAAATCCTTGTCCAGTGGCTTGGGGTCTGACTGGTTTCTTGGACGGGGAAATGGCAACCAGCGGCGTACCACTCAGCAACTCAACTGCAACTCATTAATAACTCATTCAGAAGCATGGTAGTTGTTTCAATCAGGGTTTTTGAGCATGCGTGACCCTGCATTAATTTACACGCGGTTTTCCTCAATGGGGCACTCTTCATAAGCATGTTGAGGAGGGGGGAGGAGGGAGGGGGCGGGGGGATTGCGGGGGGAGGAGGGGAGGGATCAACTTGGCTTAGTGGATTGAATTCTTTAAAGTCCCAAAAGCAATTGCTGGGGATGGTGATAATGCCCGGGCAATGCGCTGGCAGGTGTCACTTCTTTCTGTGCGGGCCTGGCTCCCGTGAGGGCCAGAAGCTGATGATTTTCCTTAAGGAAAACCTTATGGGATTTCACCTGAATCTCCAAAGAGACCCCATCTCCATGACCCTTAAGAGCAACAGCCGCGCCACCTCGCGCTCGCCCAGGTGCTGCCTCACCAGCATGTGCGCTGCCACCCCGCGCGCCGCAGCAGGGATCAAGTCCTTGAGTGACTCCCGAGTGTGCGCCAATGACGAATTGACTGTGACATCCAGAAATTGAAGTACTCAACCCAGAGGTGAACCTGCGTCAAACACCAAGTAACAAGTCGAGACCAGGTTGGAACAAAGCGCATTTTGCTACATAATACCTTGGTCTTCTGGGACCTGGTGTTAGCGGGTCCTATTGAAATGTTCGGTGAGCGACCTCACTGTCAGCGGCCTTGGCCTTGTTTGCGGACTGTTTGCGGCGCTTGACATGTTGTTCAAAACAGTAGTGGGGCATGGCGTGTGACAGGCCTTATTTTAATAAGCTTCAACATCCTGATTTTGACACCGGTGCGAAAATAATTGTATTTTCCAGGTGCTGCGCTCCATCCTGAGTGAGTTCGACCACATCGTGTCAATGCGTGTGTGTGTGTGTGTGTGCGTGTGTTGGCACACAGGCAAGTGAATGAACCTCACTTTCAGACATCGTGGGAAGCACAGCATGCAGACAACAAAGTAACAACAGCTTTATGGCGCTGTTACTTGATTGGTTTCTGTCGTCCACGGCATGACTCCTGCCCTAAAACAACGCATTGGTCTTTCAAAGGCCCGCTAAAGCCAGGTACTTCCGAATCGAAGAGGCCCGCTAAAAAAGCAGGTCGCTTTCCAAAAGTGTCAGAGAGAAACCTGTTTCGCTGATTCGCTTCTTAGCATCGATGACTTTGGTCCAGCGCCCAGTCCGCCGCCCAGCCTGGTCCAAGAAGCACACCCATTCCTGGGCACGCGTGCACGGCCGTGTGGCCGGGGTGCGAAGGCGCGGTAGCGTCGCTGTTGAGTTTCCTCCATGTTTTCCCGCACTCGACGGAGGGAGCCACTCACACAAAGCGTGGTTGCTTTCCGCTGCTTTGCAAAAGCGCAATTCTCTGGAAGCGGTCACGTGTCAAGAGATATGAGCGGATGACTATGTTCATTTGCCGGACAATCCTGCTTGCGCTGGGACAGCAAAACGGGGCCGCGCCACATCTCAGTGAAGCAGCCTGTGTTGTGTTGGTTTGAGGCTCGCAGTTTGCAGGGCTCACTGGAAGGGAGGCCAAAAAGAAACCCGTTTCCATGTTTCAGCTTCCCTCTACTTGGCGGGCTGGCTAAGGGCAATTTCCCATCCCTTGGTTGACGTTGGAAGGGGATCTAACATTCAAATTTTAGCAGTTCAGTGGTTGGATTTCAACCATTAAGCCACAAAAGCAAAGGTGTAAACTGAAATCTTCAGCCAAGGATCGGTGCTCTTGGACCAGGACTGGGGCGGCTTCCAGTGGCGTTCCATGGCGAGCTATTCCGCGGACTGGGTCGAGAAAAAAGGGTTCTTGGGAGGTTCCGCAAAAATAATCTTCGAAGGGTTCCTCGAGGCTGTGGCGCAAACTCAAAAAGTATCAAAACGGTTCCGCAGAACCGTGTGTCGAAGTTCCGAATTAGCTCCTGAAATCTGCCAAGCAAAAAACTTTGTCGAAGTTCCGCGGTGCCGGAAATCCAGTCCCGTGTCCAGTACTGTAGTTCGCTCATTGGTTCATGAGGTGCCTTGGGACCTTTTCTAGCCTGCCAAGTGGACATCTGGGACCTGCATGCGGGTTGTGTGGATGTTCGATGCTCCAGCATGAAGCGCGGAGAACGGCTTCAGAAGGTTCCCAACCAGAGCAAGGATGTGCAGATTACGGATTGTGATATAGGACCCCGGCATGATCCCTTTTGCAAGCTTGACCCTGCCGATGCGCAGGGCGACGCTATGTTGCTCTGGCCTTGTGGGCCCTATATATTACATGTATTCCTGGCGCCCCACCTGTCAGAAACGCCCCAAAAATGTACGAAGAAGATTCTCGTACATTAGGGTACCCCCCCCTCGTACATTTGCTAAAGGGGTGGGCCTCACAGAACCACGAGGCCGTACCATCTGATCCCCCTGTGTACGGCGGGCTTACGTTTCGCAAGTTGTCGTATCCAACCCATTGCTTCCTGCCACCAGTAAGGGGCAATCAACATTTGGGTGTGTGCTTTTTAGAGAACCCCTTATCAGGTGCGGGAAACCAAAAAAGGGAAACCCCCATTTTGGCGGGGGTCCCTAAAAAAAGACGCACCCATTTAGGAGACCTCGCCAAAAAAGTGCGGAAATCAATGACTCCCCTTGCCCATCCTTGCCCGGATTGCACTTTGCAAGTCCCAAGATTCTGGATCTGGACTCCATGACATATTTAGGTGTATTGCTATATGTACCCTTTAACCCGAATCTAGTGCATGGGGAATACACAAATCGAGCGTTTAAAGGGAACCCTGGCCCCCGACAAAGCGGGGCAAAAAAGCGAAGGAGGTCTCGGTGAACTTTCTCGGTGGCCGCCCCCGACGAAAAACGCTATAAACTCTTTGCCGATTGGCTAACGAGTTGAAGGTTGGATATCCGACCAAAAAGGCGCTCGAAATTCCTTTCATTTAACCTTCCGTGAACTTTCCGTCCCACGGCACATGTTGCACTAAGCTGCCTTCAGGCAACCTGAAGGGTGGCCCTCCTTTTTTCAGGGTGCCCCTGCTCTTTGCGGCTTGAACATCAACGTCGGGAGCATCGCAGTTGACTCCTTGTTTGTTCTAGCTGGGTTTCTGTGGTTCTCTACCCGTATCAGGTTGGCTTGAAGGGATGACCAAAAGGAAAAGGGGTCACATCCCCCACCATAAGGGGAGGGGGGTGGGTGGTCCCCAATTCCATCTATCTACATGGGTTGCCACAAATGGAGATTTCCAGGGTTCGAAATCTCCTCTCCCCCAATTCCATTTCTTCCATTTGCTTTTTCGGCCCCTGAACAAAGCAACATATTTCCAGTAGTGAAATCGATTCCCTAGAAAAACCAACAGGGGAAAGCATCAAAAATGAGACCCTAACAATGGCTAATAAACAACTTCCTCAGCAAATGGACAACTTTTCAGGGGCCCGGGCATGAATCGGGTCCACCCGGTCACCCGGTCACCCGGCCACCCGGCCACCCGCGGGGCTCTCTCTGCTCGCCCGAGTCCTGAAGGATCTTCAACGCCTTCGCGGAGTCGCCCTCGCGCTCCTCCAGGGAGGCCCTCGCCTCGTACATGCGGGCGTCGCTGGTGATGCCTTGCGACGCGCATCCCCAAAACCCCTGGGAGTTGGGTCTTATTCTTCTTTGTTCATTTTTGTCAAGGGAAGAGATGTAAGAGAATTACTTGTTGTGTTTAACTTATCATTTTCGTGTACTTTCTGGAAGGCAGCCCAATGGCTTCGTACGGCCGCAAAAAACTCCCTTTGCAGCAGGTGACGTTGAAAAGGATGTGCAAAAGATCCAAAAGCGATTTGCAAGCGAGGGGGGTTCCTCCCCCTCTCCCCCAGATTCCAGCGCAAGGTGCCAAAGGCCCTCTGGCGATTGTGAAACTCCCGGGCTTCGTTGACATCAAGCACGCACAGTTGCAGCATGTACTTCACGCACAGCTCTCGGTAGGCCACATCCTCCGCAGCCTCCCAAAGGCGAGAAACGATTCGGGGATTCGGATCCTCGACGTGTTGAAAAAGCCCGCGTGGTGAAAAGGACACCAGCAACTTCCATTTGGGTAAGACCCCTGGAAAAAATAAATAAATATGTCCAGTAGTGATAGATTCCCTTTAAAACCAACAGGGGAAAATCAAACATATCCTTAAGCAAAAGAAAGGCAAAGAAAACGCAAGAGCGGGTGTTGACTTTTGAAGCCCAAAAGCCTTCCCAACTCTCATGATCTGCAACGCATTCCTTCATGACACTTTTCGCCATATCTACAAGCAAATCGATGCTTGCCATTTTTGCCAACATCACGCCTACTTGAACCTCGCGTGAGTTCGATAGGCTTCGCTTGCCGTTCCCCTCTTTGCATGTTCAGTGGTTGCTGAGAGATTCTTGACTAATCCCACAAGGAAGAGGGTATGACAAATCAATGAGGGCGAAGTGTAATAATGCAGCGACCGGGAATAAGGGATGTCTATGAATGAAAGGACAACTTCATCATGGATGGTCGGCCACAACCCCCTTTGTGCGGCCGCGACAGCTTAATTTCGCAGAATGACAACTTATTATTTTCTGTTATCGAAACAAACAAATCCACCGATGCAGTGACCTTACTTTCGCGCGAAGAAGCGGAGATCGGCTCACCATGCCCAAGTTTCCAACTCTCTGGAAAAAAGAAAAAACAAGAAACAAAAAGAAGAAAACCACGCGTGTCGGCAAACGCCGTTTCCTGATCCCAAACATGCGGCTCGGACCTCACTCAATCCCAATCCTGTTTTCTGTGATTTCTCTCATGCATTCTTCTCTCGGACCCCGAGAGAAGCCGCTCAGCCCGGTGGCTTGGCTCCCAGCCTTGGGGCATTTGTATGCCTCAATGGCCGCGCCAAAGATGGCGCACAACTGGCTTCCTTTCAGCGTCCGCTCCGCCTTGCCTCAAGCAAGCAAAAAACGGACAAACCGTCGCAACAGGAACGTGAGAAACACTTAACTGGGAAGGAGTCTTGATTGGGTCGCGCTGAGAGCTGAAAAACCGTCGGACAAACAAATGGAGAGCCGCTCACAACAAAAACAACTATGCATGGGGTCTATGGGATAAAATTGAAAGCAAACGCATGGGTCTTGTGGGGATTGGTGGACATCAGAAACTCATGGAGATCTATGTCCGACCATTGCTGGAGTGCTCCACACCTCGAAGAGGAGGTCTTCTATAATACTTGCAACTCATGTCCAGCTGGGATTCACAATCATGGACTCTTAAGGGGGGCTATGGGGAGGGGGGGCTAGCCCGTATTGACCCCTTGATAAGGCCTTTTTGCTTTGAGGCTTCCCCCCTCATAGCCCCCCCCTAGGCGTTCCATGACACCAGGCAGAAAAAAAACAGCTGGGAGTTGCAGGGCACTTCCCCTACCACAGTACCATTGGGAACGGGATCGCTGCATCACTCTTCTACTTCAATGGCCCTTTTGTGCATTTTTCTTTTTGAACAGAGAACAAGCTGGTGGCTTTGTACCAACCTGAGTGCTAAGTAGGTCCCAACAATTTGAACATCCATCTTGTTGGTGTCCTTTACAAAGAGCCAACGAGTATGTGCCATTTAGAGAAGTTTAGCGCTTGGCGCTCGCATTGCTATTGACTGAGCCTTTGGCGCACAATGCTGAGGATGCGCGAGGAGTGTCCGGTCGCACCTCGCGCTTTGAAAGAGCAGCCAATGCGCAAGCGACCCGTGCATCTGTAAAGCTGGATCTGCAAAAGTGAACATTCTGAGAGCTCCTCAAATCACTTTGGGGTGGATTCCCTCATTCTACCAGGATACAATTTAGAAGTAAGTGCTGAGGGCTCACTTCGATGGATCAAGCGACACTTTGTTTGGTAGTCAGTGAGTGAGGAACATACATGTTTTCAAAACAGTGAAAGGCCTCTCAAAGGTCTAAGCACAGAGCAACCTGAGATTGATCAAAGACCATGGACCATGCCGTTGAAATAAAGGAGGGCCGAAACCATGGCCAGTTGGCTGTGGGTCAGAAACAGGGTGACCCCAAAATGGGTTGCCCTGTGGAAACATGGGCTAAAATCTGCGGTTTCCTGGTGGTTTAATTTTGACCTACACCCAGCGCTCAAATGACCAAGTTTAAAAGTTCTGAAACTGGGGAAGTATAAGACTCCCATGCTGTCGTCGAATGTTGAAGCTTTTGCAATCCATGGAAGACGATTTGAAAAGGGATCGCAAAGGGAAAACGCAGTTCTTCCCTGGAATTAGCTCCCCTTTTGGATTTGTGCTTCTGTGGGGTCCCCTTTGTTTTCCAGCAACCATGCAAAAAATATGTTTTGTTGCTGTGGTCCCAATTCCAGCCAAAATCCGTGAGTCTGCTTTGACGCACAAGCCAAGCTACGACATGGAGCTCGGGCTATGAGGATGGGGTGCTGCACCTATTAACATCAACAGGGCCTCTATGGGGCGTATCGTTGGCTTATCCCGAACTCCAGGGAAGGCCCCGCCCGTAGTGAATCATGAAGAACTTGTCTGGTCTAGTGGTGGTGACACTTTGTGTAAAGCAATTTCAAGATGGCCCCCCCCAACCCCCGTTTCAGCTTCCTTCTAATTGGTGGTTCGGTTTGGTGGCTTGGGACTTATTTGGTGCCTTCCCCATGGTTTCAAAAGGGCCTGGGCTTCTAATCCAAACCCAAATCACCAATCCAAACCACCAATTCGTGGAACGTCGACGCCGTTGGTTGTCCATGACATACTTCCATTTGTTTTTGTCGCCCACTGGAGAAAACAACATATCCAGTCGTGACAAAACATCCTTTTAAAGTTAACCTGGGAAAATATAAAACATCTTCATTTGCAAAATTCCTTTTAAAGCCAACAGGGGAACATATAAACCAAACAGTCGTTTCAGCATATGGCTGTGGGTCAAAACCCTGTACCCCTGGTGAACCTCAACATAGGTGGCAAATGGATGTTCATTTACCCCAAAATGGGATCGCCATAGGTCATGCAACCCATGGCCAATCATGGCCATATGGACGGATTGGCTCACAAAACCCCGTGCCGTTGCTTCGCCTTTCAGCGCCTGCACTAAGGAGTCCGGGTCTGCCTGGCCGCTGGCCAGGCGACATCCGGCACCGCACCACTTGGAAACCATGGGGAACCAGTGGAAACCTTTCCCAAATCAATGTGGTGTCCCATTGAAACCTTAACCATGCGAAATCTCGCAGCACTTTGGAACCATGGTTGAAATCATGACGCTTGTTGGTGGTTCCAGGGGAATTGAATCATTCCAGGGTTTCTTAGGCCTTAGGTGTTCCGAAATGGATTCCGTCCATGCTACTCTGCATGGTTGCGAAATCTATTTCGCAGCACCTGGGGAGCCATGGTTGAAACCACAACGATGCTTGGTATTTGCGTTGGGGAATCAAATCCGTTGGGGTCCGTAGGTGGTGCGAATGGATCTCGGCCATCCACAGTATGGGCAATTGCCACTTTTTCGGAAGACTCTATATTTGAATGGGTAGATTAAAATCAGCCGGGCCCCTTTACTGGGCTGCCCTCAAATCCCCTACTACAAGTGTTTAACTGTTGGTGGGTTAAGCGAAAACTCCCACTAAACCCGAAGAAGCTAAAAAGCCAAGGGGATGGCTGGGAATCAAGCTTAGAGGTGGCAACACCAGCATCTTAGATCCCGATTCTCCCCAAATCATGGCAGGTCAATGGATCTGGCCCCGGCAGAAAACTCGTCTGGCTCTCCCGCTGTGCTTTGGATCTCCTCTTGGACATGATCAACATGCCAAGACTTCCTTTTGCTTAAGCACCCTGGAAAAACAATATATATATATATATATTCCTTTTAAAACAAACAGCGGACAACAAACATATTCCTAAGAAAATGGAAGAGGAGCAGTGAAGCTGAAAGGAGTTTCGGTGGACACTTCAATTGGGCTCAAGGCCACGTCCCCATCTCTGAGCTGCGCCGGGGAGCGCAGACTGCACCCTGTGCTCAGGTAAGGATGTAAGCAGGACTGAAAGCGTCCTGAAAATTGTCTTGGGATGACCAGCATGTCATGCTAGAAGTCGATTTTCTGATGAGAGCCTGTGGCTGGTCGGGTGGCGCTGTTGCGGCACCGTGCCTATGGCTTCGGTCTTTGCGAACCCGTGGCAGCCTCAACGCCTCATCTAAACCGCTTGCCCAGTCTCTCGCTCCCCCCCTGGCCAGCTGCTAGGTGCCAAGTATTGCTGAGACTTCGATGACGCCAGCTGCAGCCTCTTCATGGCAATGTAACACATGTATTATATATATATATATATGTATATATATATGTATATTACATGCATGTACGTTGTGTCTGCATGTTCGGCAAGTTATGTTAGCTTCTGTAATGCAATGTGATGTGATGTGATGTGATCTAAGTTTTGAAGCGCGCCGGGCTCAAACGTCGGTTGAACATTTAGAAACCTACGCCTCGAAGATGCTAAGCCCTCAACGCTCCGATCACTCACTTCGGGCAAGCTGGCCGACAAATATTTTTTAGCGATCTGGATGCTATGCCTCGAGTGATACGGAACCCTTTGGAAAGGGTGTCCTTTGCCAATGGAGGACATGATTCTTGTAAAATATGCAAAATGATGATGTGTCGCCGCACTTCGGGGATCTTCCGCGAGACAAAACAGAGATGGCTAACTGTTTAGCAGAACTCTGGTTCTACGCTCAGTTTGTGAAGCCCCCTCCATGGGAATCTGGTAAGTGACTCCCACTGTCCGATACTCAAACAGGGATCCTTACATTATACACCTGAACATTGCCTTGTCAATGGAAGAAGCCATGTTTCAAATGGGCAAAATGTATCTTTTAAGGAGCCCTGTCAAAGTCGTTCGCTTTACAACGGCAAGTCTTGAGCGTTGGTAGCGGCGGCGAAAACTGAACCGGACGGCCTCCATGCACTCAGCTCGCAGCTTGGGTCTTGGACTCCCACCTGGGACTTGACGCCCGCAAAACCGCGACCGTGTTCCGTTTGCGGAAGCCTTTTTGTCCACTTCCATGATTGTTGGCAGGTAGCAGAAGCACAAACTACTCTCTGGAATCTCTCTTTTACGAGGGCAACCCTATTTAGAGGTTTTCAAGGGACACCAACAGGATTACCTCCATTGTGGACGGTGGAGGGTGCCCTAAGAAAAGACACACTCCTGATTCCCGCACCAAAACATCACCCCAACACGCAACTTGGCCAAGGCAACTTCATGCGAGGTCCAAGCCCAAATTGGTACATGGCCCCATCATGGCGCGAATTGGCACGTTGGGAATTGGCACACCAAGCGCGAATTGGCACATTGGGTCGGCCAACAACTCAAGGAACAAGCGCAGCGGCAACATGAGTAGGTTGTCCCGAAATTGGACCACGTTTGGAGCAGAACCCTTCTGGCTTGTTTCCGGGAGTCGGAATGAATCGGCCAAGCCAATTGCCCGATTTCTAGTGTGCATTCGACCCTGTTGTCTGAGGTCATGTCCCAGGGCAGGAAAAACAACTACTTTGTGTGTGTGTCTGTTAGTTGAGGGTCCCCCAAAATGCTGGCTCTCCCAGTAGTTTCCCCAGAAAACCCACCAAACAATTGGAGGGGTTCCTTCAGTTGCCGTTCAGCCACTTCAACCAGAGCGGCGAGCTCGCGCGCATCCCGGCCATGGGCGGAAAAAAACTGCAGATCTGTAGCCAATGTCGCGGCATCCAACCTTTGGTTTGGGCCTGGGGTGTGTGGGGATGGGGGTGTGGGGATGGGGCTGTGGGGATGGGTTGGTTTGGGGTTGCGGGGGTGCAGAAGTGCGGGGGCTTAGCTTGCAAATTTGGTTCGGTTCGTGGTCTTGGTTTCGCATCTCCGGGCACTCGGAGTCGAAGCCAGGATCTGATGGAAGGGTCCCGCGAAGCTTTCTGGCCGGTCAGAAGGGTGTCGTCAAAGCCAACCGCGAAAGCCATCCCTTCGAAGCCCAGGGAAGCCATCGACACCCAGAGATCCGGGCCCGTGGCTGCCCGCAGAAACCGAACACTCGGATCGAAGAGCAGCAGCCGAAGGCACCCCTAAGCTCTTGGAACTTTCTTGGGGGCTCTTAGGTTTGAAGGGTTCGAAGCACCTGCGAGGGGTTGGGGGGCTGGGGGGCTGAGGGGGATCTCTCTGAAGTCAAAGCAGCATTCACACTTTCGCCCGGCTTTCTCCGCGCTAAGTGCTGCTTCAAGAGCGGCGGTGCATTATCGCGACAGCAGCTGGGGCGTCAGAACGGGGCCGGATTGAAATGGTAGAGAGATTGAAGAGGAAGCCAACATGACATCCGATATTGACGCCACAAAAAAAAATGTATCCTGCAAACTTAAATGTCCCCACAAAAAATGCGGAACAAACTGTTGGGCGTTCATCTCAATCCGCAATGTATTGCACGGAAGGCGCCACTCTGCTCCAAGCCGCTTCGCAAGCTCACCACTCCAACGCCTGATGCAATTTTCCCGGCACCCCCCCTTAGGTGGGTTACAGAAGACCAGCCTCATACGGGAGCTTGATCCCCTCTTTGGTTCGTGTTGACGTGGATATGGAGCAGGAATGACACATAATGACCTGCAACTCGCGTGACAAACACGAAAACATGTAACCGTATTGTATGTGATTGGCATGACTGGGGTTTCCTGGTAGGTGGGGTGGTCCCAGGAGTCCCGGCGCAAGTGGTGAGCATGAAGCCCCCTTGCACCGCCTGCTGAGCCACCCACAGAGAAGGCAAGCAGGTTGACAAACCACCAACAACAGGCTAGCAACAGCACGGTAGACAGTGCACGTTGGTGAGCCGACACAAAGCAGCAAACACAGCCCAACGCAGCTTCCAATCAGTTGTTCGGAGCCTTGTGGGGGCCCGGGAGATCTCAAAATCCAAGGTTCATTGGTCCCGTTCCTGGCGGCTTTTCAAATGAGTCCAAGGCTGCCAAGTTTAACTACAACCCCACAAAATCATCCAGTCGTGGTGTTCGCCACATGGCTTGATTCATGCGGGAGGCTGCGCCTTTCCAAGTCCCGGACACCCCTCTCATTCATCCAATGGGGTGGGTTAAAACTGGCCGCGTGGAACAATTTCGGCCTGCGTTCTTTGGTTTGAGCCACGCCCGCAAAAAGTGCAACCAACCCAAGGGAAAATGAGGGTAGGCGTGGATAGCCATTCACATGTTTAGGCCGTCCGCAGTCAAACGTGTAGAAAGTTTAGGGTGTAGGCACTCAAATGCATAAAGGCATGAAGGAACATAGAGAAACAAGGACAAACAAATACTGAGCAAACGCAGGCATTCAGAGAAACAACTAAAGAGAAAACATGGGAACGCGCAAAACAATACAAACATTAAACCAAGAAACAGAAGAACATGAAACGTGGAAAAACAAACCCAGCTGCGCTGTGTGTCTTCGAGCTCGAAGAGCGAGGGCAACCCGACCCGTAGGGTATACCGCTGACGTGTTTCTGTTGCACCAGAAGCTCCTCCTCAGCATCCGCTGCCTCCCCCGGACGCAGGCCAGCCCAGACATTTCAACGCCAAACATCCCTGACACCCCTGCCACGTTGCCCACTCCTTCAAAAAACCCTGAAAATACCGCGCAAATCGCTCCTCTACATCCTCGCCAGCTCACCCACCCGCATCCCCAACATTCCTGCATCACCAGCGTCCGGGCTTTCCAGCATCCCTTGCATGCATTGATCCTCGGAGAGCAGGTTTTGGCGGTAGCGGTGTTTGCGATCAAGTGAGCGGGGTTTCTGAGAGAGCGGGCCGGCGCCACTATGCGGAAAACATCGCAGATACCCGGGTTTTTTTCGTCAGCTTTCCAGGGTTTGTGGGGCTGAGAGGGGGTGCCGGGGTCCAGTCTCCCCCAGATCGGCTTTGGGCGAGCGCCATACGCGCGCGCTGCAGCACGCACGCGTGTACGCACGCACGCACAGGTGCCGTATCACTTGCAAACATGCGAGCACGCACGCGCGCGCGCACATGCGCGCATGCACGCTAGGTTGGCTGGGTGGGTGGGTGGGCGGGCGGGTGGGTGGGTGGGTGGTGGGTGGGAATGGTGGGAAGGGTTGGTGGGAGGGGAGGCGGTGAGGGGTGGGAGGGGTGGGGCGGGTGGGTGGGTGGGCGGGCGGGCGGGTGGGCGGGTGGGCGGTGGGTGGGTGCTGTGGAGGGTGGTTGGGTGAGCAACCCCTGCAGCCAGCACAGCTGGTGATGGCGAAGCCTTCTGATAACCTCAAAGAACAGTGAGCCGCCACGTCAACACTAAACATGAAATACGTAGACAAGTGAAAGAAAGAAAGAAAGAAAGAAAGAAAGAAAGAAAGAAAGAAAGAAAGAAAGAAAGAAAGAAAGAAAGAAACCAGGGGGCAACACAAGAGAACAACCATCATACCACAAGCAGGACAAGCTCAAAAAACACACGGCAACAAAAAGAGCGACACTGTACACATCATGATTCAATGCATCCATAAGGAACAAACGCCGAACAAGGCAAACAAAACGTCAAGGGAACCAACCAACAAAGGAGCTGGGACCAAAAGGTTAACCTCTTTTTTTGTCCGCACATGGCACGAGTCGCACCAGCGAGCATGCCCTTAGAATCCGTCAAGACAATTAGCGGGGGCAAGACCATTTTAACCGCGCGAGACAATTTTTGCCGTGAGGCTTTTTTTTGCCGCTGCCGTTGCCGCGAAAAGTTTATTTTCCAAGACAGTAAGCATCCACTGATTGCCGTGAAGTGAAATTGCTGCGCAAGCTAATTTTTACCGTGGGACTCGCTAATTGCCGTGACGGATTCTAAGGGTGGGGCTTCTCGAAACACCACTCTCGCGGACTGGTTCCCCCACAAAGTTCCCTTCCAGAAAATGATGCCGCAAGACTTCACGATCTTGCGGCCCCAGACCCCAGAAAGACAGTCCGCCCACTACCCGTGTGGAAAAGAGCAGCCATCGATACAGCGATTGTCCCGTTGTAGCTGTGGGCCTGGCAGGGGGGATCAACCCCGTGCCAACATGCCACAGCAGCGCGATTTCCAAAAAGGCAGTCGCGAAGGTCTCGTGCATCCACTGCAAATCGGTGAAAAAGGTCTGCACGCCTGCCCACAACCACCACCAGTTCCAAGGCAAAGTTAGCCAGCATCGCTGAAGCCAAACCTGACGGCGAATCGCCGCGTACGCCCAGCCATGCAACACTGTGTCCGGAACTGGCTGGGCACGGCGCAGCCAGCTGCAGCATTGCGTCCGACGTCATCAGGCAGCACCGTGCTGCTGATGGCGGCAGCATCGTCGGCGGTGGGCACGAACCCGCCGAGGGACCGTTGCCCCACAAGCGGTGTCTTTGCTGCCACAGCTCCAAGATCTGCTTCCACCAATGTTTTGCTGACGGTGCGTCAAAAATCCCGTACCCCCAATGAACATTCCAATCCCCACCAAAACAGAGTGGGGCATCTACCCCAAAATGGTACCACTGGTGTTGACCCACAGCCATGTAGCTCGGCCCTGGTCACACCTGCACAGCCGACCAAGAGTCCGACGCTATATTGACCGGGCCGGTGGCCCCAGCGAAGGAGCGCCAGATGGCAAACACCTCAGCGACCCCTGGCACCGGCCCCGATTCCAGCACCGTCTCCTCGACATCCACAACAGCAAAGCCTGCAGAGGCAAAGATCGGGTGGCAGCCATTCACCAGGCTACCATCCGTCCAGCGCCATTGCACTTCACGCGAGGGGCCCTTAACCTTTTGGGGCCATAAATATGGCACTGGTCAAAAGGTCGATTCGACTTGGGTTCAACTGAGACAAGCAAAATCGTCAAGGGAACCAACAAGGCAAACCATGTTTTTTTCTCCAGGGCTTCCGCCCTTTCGTAAAAAGGCGCCTCTGCAAGGAGCGGAGCCAGCCACTCTCCGGTGCCCGGCACTGGCCGAGGTCCGCCGGGCAAGTGCTCCTGGCAGCGACCAGAGCTGGGTCACCTTTGAACGGCCAATTCAGGAGGTGGCTTTGGGTCAGTCGCCAAAAGTGGTCGGCAAAAGCAAGTGCCGGGAAAGAAACCCCAGAAACCGACTCAGGGCTTCCCGGAAGTTCCTCACGCTGGCTTTGTGAAGAGATGCCAAGCAATATGGTCTGACGGAAAGCGCCACCAAGGGGAACCGGTGCAAACAATCGTGGAAAAACATGTTGTGGGGTTCAGCGCTTGCCGGGCTGCACGCCTCAATGTCTCCTAGTTGGTGGTTTGGATTGGTGGTTAAGGGTTCAAATCCAAATCCAATCCACCAACTACGAGTTACCTGCCAGGGAACCCATTTCTTTCTTCCAGAATCCTTCCTGGGCCCTCAGATCCCCTGCAAACAAGATGCTTAACTTGTGGGTTAAACGGAAACTACCACCTACCACTAAACCAAAACAAACACAAACTAACACAAAACTAACCAAAAGCAAAAAAACAAAACACAACACTGGGACGGTCCTTGACCGGCACCTCGAAGCGCCGCAGCTTGGCCGGAAACTCGAACCTTGCAACGGGGCTTTTTCTGGCAAAACGCGAGGCCGGGGCTTTTGTCTGAAGCGCCCTTGAGGAGCCTTCAACGCAATTGACTGTGGCTCAAAAAACCGGAGTTTTCCTAAACGGGTTGCCCTGTAAGTGGAAACATGGACCAAAACCTGCGGTTTGCCCCTGCTGTTTAATTTTGAGCCACACCCAATTGTTCTCTACATCATTTCTCGAATTTGTCTGGCGAAACAACAGCCAATGTGCTGCTCCGCTCACTTTGCTGTGTGTTGTGAAAAAAATGGCGGCCTGAGGAATCCAACATGCTATGACAGGTGTTTTGAGGATAGCAGGTGCAGCTGCACCACCTGGGACCAACTGGACTGAGATCAACAGGGTTTGACTGGTTCAGTTGGACCAAATAGGTTCAAACCGGACCAATATTGGACCAACTGGGCCGCACAAACCCTGCCTCAACCTTGGTGCATCCGCCGAACTTTTGGAGTCGGCCGTGGGAAGGGGCTTCCTCTTGCGGCTCCTCCTGATTCTTTTGCAGGGATCCGCATGCCGAATTGGCTGTAAGGGGCTGACCAAATGGCAAGGGACTAACTTCGAAGTGTCAGCTTGAGAAGCCCTGCAAAGGAGCGCCAGGAGGGCAATTCGCTTGAGGGTGTTGCTACATGCCCGGCCCGTTTGAGGCCGGATCCTTCTACATTCGGCAACGGAGCGCGAGTTAGCAAATGCAAGCCTCGTTGTTTGTGTTGCTGCCTGCCTGCGGGGAGCGCAAAACGTGAACTTGCAAAAACTGTCCAGCATGGGCTGGACGGCTTCACTCTCCTCAAAAAGGGGTCACTGGATTTCCCCTCCAAACGTTGCAATTTACGGGTGGTTTCCATTGAAACTGCAACTTTGGGAGGTTCTCAAAAGGGAACTGGCTCGGAAACCCTGTCAAATGCCCGACCCATCCGGGGAATGTGGATGTTGGACGAGAGCGATGGACACGCCAGGCGTTTGCGCCTTTAGGGCACCTTCGGGCCCCAAACGTAGAGAGGGTAGAATAATTCTACCCTTTTTTGGTCTGTCTTGGTAGGGGAACCCTCCCCCAAAAAAGGGTAAAAGGGCACTACTGGGGGACCTAGTGGGGCTTTTGTGCGACCTGACAAACGTTGAAATTATTGGCCCAGTTTAAGGCGGTCTTCCCCGACCCTCCAACTGTTTCCGAAAGGTAATGGATCGCTGGAGCTAATACTAGCTTGCGATATCCCTTCCATTGCAGGCGCGACCGGCCGGGTTTTGCTTGCCGGCCTGTGGCAAAGGTCGAGGAGAGTCTGCGAGTAGTGGTCGGAGACCTCGCGAAGGTGTGTTTGCAGGTGCGGGAAAAGAAGGCAGCTACTCCCCTGCAAGTTGTGGAGCCCAAAAACACACCCTACCTGGATCGCCAGTGGCTGTTTTGTTCCATGCACTTTACCCCAAAGACCAGCAACAGTGACTGAAAAAAGCGATCGCAACTGGGCGATCTAGGTAAAAGTTGTCATGGAGCCTCCGAAACTCATGGCTTGCCTTCGGGCTCCATGTGACAAATTGCAGACAAGTACCGACTATTTCATTTCCTGCCACACCGGTCATTTCGGATGGGGGGGGGGCGCAAGGTAAATTCGGATTCGGGGGGGGGGGGGGAGGGGGGGGGTCCTATTGGAGGGCACGCCCAGAAAACAAGTCCATGGCAAATGAAAAGTCGCGAGGCCAATTTGGAGTCCGCTGAGTTGCTGACTTGGCCCCGATTGGCACTTGCGAGACCCACATCCAAAAAGCCAGGAAGCCCAGGAACAATTAAAACCCATGAGGTTCAAGATGGCTCAGCACATCTCAGGGCTCAATGACTCAAGGCGGGCTTTGATCAATATGTTTCTTTCGGAAAAAGAACATCTTCGTGGGGCACATGATCTTTTGCGAATCCTCGAAATTGGAAAGAACCCAAAGACGGTGTTCCCTTGGCGTCCCGTTCAAACAACCTGAAACGCGCGCGCTCCAAACAGGCACATTCGCACATCTCCCCCTTGAACATCACCCTGCCTGAAAGTCCTTGAAAAAGGCGATCTGAGGGTCTGAGAGTCTGAGGGTTTGAGGGTTGAGGGTCTGAGGGTTTGAGGTCGGTCTGAGGGTCTGAGGGTTTGAGGGTTTGAGGGTTTGAGGGTCTGAGGGTTTGAGGATTTGAGGGTTTGAGGGTTTGAGGGTCTGAGGGTTTGAGGATTTTAGGGTTTGAGGGTTTGAGGGTCTGAGGGTTTGAGGATTTGAGGGTTTGAGGGTTGAGGGTCTGAGGGTTTGAGGATTTGAGGGTTTGAGGGTTTGAGGGTCTGAGGGTTTGAGGATTTGAGGGTTTGAGGGTTTGAGGGTCTGAGGGTTTGAGGATTTGAGGGTTTGAGGGTTGAGGGTCTGAGGGTTTGAGGATTTGAGGGTTTGAGGGTTTGAGGGTCTGAGGGTTTGAGGATTTGAGGGTTTTGAGGGTCTGAGGGTTTGAGGATTTGAGGGTTTGAGGGTTTGAGGGTTTGAGGGTTTGAGGGTCTGAGGGTTTGAGGGTTTGAGGGTCTGAGGGTTTGAGGATTTGAGGGTTTGAGGGTTTGAGGGTCTGAGGGTTTGAGGATTTGAGGGTTTGAGGGTTTGAGGGTCTGAGGGTTTGAGGATTTGAGGGTTTGAGGGTTTGAGGGTCTGAGGGTTTGAGGATTTGAGGGTTTGAGGGTTTGAGGGTCTGAGGGTTTGAGGGTTTGAGGGTTAAGGGTCTGAGGGTTTGAGGATTTGAGGGTTTGAGGGTTTGAGGGTCTGAGGGTTTGAGGATTTGAGGGTTTGAGGGTCTGAGGGTCTCAGGGTTTGAGGGTCTGACGCCTCCGACATATTTCACCGAATCCTTGCAGCTCCCACGACTGGGGATGTTGCTTCTTCGTCGTTCCGGCAGTAGATCAGCCGCCTCAGAGGCCATCCAATCCGTCGCAGGCATCGCCCCGGTGGCTCAAAGAATTCGCGGAGTAGAAGCTCGGCCGCGTGGCAGTCTCTTTTTAGGGGACTCGCCAAAAATGGTGGGCCTATTGATTTTCCTTTGGGACCAAACAAATAAAGCGGGTACCCTCAAAACAGACGAGTCACCCATTTGGCCACTGGTAGAGGGAAACATCTTGTCGTTTCACAATTGCTCATGTGATTCCTGGAACCTGAAACCACGTACAAATGGTGGTTTATCAGCTACTGTTATTCTCCATCAACTAGGTCCACTCACAGGAATGTTTGTTTGGGAAACTACCCCAGTGCTTCGAGTTGCTATAGTAGGTAACCAGAAGACAACCGTGATGAAAAACCAAGAGATAGCGAGACCTGGTTACCTACTCTAGTCGTAACTGGAAGCACTGGGTGCCATTTGTGAATGGTTTGCCGGTTCCAGGTTGGATCTGGGAATGGTCTATCCCTGGAAATCCACGACTGTTTTTTAAACGTCCTTTGCACCTCGCCTGTTTTTTGCAGCTAACGCCTGTTTTTTGCGCCTGCAATGAGCCATGGCGTGGTATTTGATGGATTATTCATGCTGTTGCCACGTTTAGATTCTACAAAGCCTGTTCCACCCCAACATGTCTTTGACACAACAATCTTGGTGTGAACATAGCGGTCCGTGATGTACGCAAAAGTAGCGTGAAATCACCGTGAAAATACCGTGAAATTGGCGTGAACGCCTGTTTTCCAGCGTGAAAGCACGTTTTCTGCCGTGAATTTTGACACCGGATAATCTATGTGTTTCAGCCTGTCCTTTGGTAATCCCTCTGCTTGTTTTGTGGGAACGGAGGTCAAGTCTTTGCACATTTTGGTCCTGAGCACGTGCGGCCCCCGAATTGTTCAATGATATCAGCTGAGCTTGGACAAAACTGCTCCTGGCAAAAAACCGCCTTTCACAGAAAACATGCAAAATAAACCGCCTTTGGAACCCCAGAGGGGTGTACGTCTGGAGCGACCCGGTCAACGAACCGGAAGCCACTCGAAAACGAAGTGAAACTTCAACACATCTGGCTCACCGGGTCCGAATTTTGGTTGGGCTTGGAAACCTTGCAAAAGGATTCCAAGGGATTTCCGAAGCAAAGGAATCAACTCACTTTGCAATGTTTGAGCACTTGTCACTCAGATTGGACTTGAAATTCCTGAACCCGAACACTCCAGAACCCCTGCTTCTCTCCTACGCCGCCTTCTTTTTCGTCTTTTTCCGAAGCCGCGCTTCCGGCTTCCTTTCGGCGCGTTGAACGACGGCGGGCGCGGCTCACTTCTCGGCGCCCGCCAGGTGTCTGCAGTACTCACCAAGCTGCTCCGCCGCTTCGAGCGGCTTGCGCTTCCCCGCGTTCCGCGCCATGGCTTGAAACATCGCCGGCACGTGGCTCCCTGCGTCCTTCGAGTCGGAACGAGTCGGAACGAGTCGGAACCCTGAAGCCCTGGTTCGGAGCGAAAAATGGGGTTGGGGGTCGTGGGCTTAAGAAGAAAAAAAACAATGCAAGACTCTTGAATTCTATAAAGAAAAAACATAGGGTGGAATTCCAGCACTCACCCCCCCCCTTGTCCAATTTCGTTTTGAGCCGGTGGGGATTTGGAAGGGGGGTGTTGCTTCGCGGAAAAAAGGGAGCCTCTGCGCTGTCAAATGAGGCCAAGGTACGCGTATCAGACAGAGATCATGACCACATTATTGAAATGCTGTTGAAGTCAGGGAAATCCAAACAAGTTTCCGAATGCTCTTCTAAAACGATGCCGAATGGCAACCAATCCATCAAACAACAAGCACAAACATGCGCAACCAGGATTGATGATCTGGAAGAAGTCCAAGCTGGAAAAATCGGCAGCCATGGAAACCACGACAATTTTCATTGTTGGAAGGGGAAATGGAAACAGTCACAGTACTGACGTGTTCTGGTTGCGCCAAGAAGAGGGGGGGAGCACTGAACAAATAACATCCCAACTCTTGGTACGTTGGCTTTGAACAAATAGGGCATTCTGCAGCTACTAAACACGAAGACAAGCAGCAAGATGGAATGAAAGGATCAACAGAGCCAATGAACATAACATAGAACCATCGAAAGAACCAACACATAATCAACGTACACCAACTAAGACACACAAGCGAGAGCGCGCAAAGAATTGAAAGCGGAGACCGGATCTCAACCTGCCGGGACCTGCAGCCGTGTGCGTTTCGTTTCGGTTGCCCACCCCTTGGAAGAGACGCCGAGTCTCCTGGAGTCGCCAAATAAGACCCTTTAAAAATAGGTCCATGACCAACCATGATTTAGGGGAATGACCAATCATTCTTAAAGGGTCATGGAGACTCTAGGCTCTTTCACCTGGTTCCGGGCTCTTGAAGCACCGCCCGTCCTTCTGTGAGAGGGTAAACAGCAGGATGCCTTGCCTAAGGGTGAGACGGGGAGGTTTTGACTCTGATGAACCGGAAGCAACGAAACAGGTCCAATCCGGAAACTTGGTTGACGTTGGAAGGGGAGCAAAAATTCAAATGTTTCGCAGTTAAGTGGGGATTTCCCACCAAACCACAATAAGCAAAAATGTAAAATGTTTGCCAACAACAACCATGAAAAGCTTTCTGAACCCTGGCCGGAAAGCTACTTCTTGCGGGCAAAGGCGCTGGAGCAAACAGCGGACGAAAAAAAAGTTGGGTTGGAAACTTATGAGAAGACAAACCGGCATCGCCTCCCAAAAGGGAAAAGAACGAAAAACCGTGGTGCCACTGGACGCCTGGCAAATGTGAAGACTTGTATTTCGTAGAACAAAGAGGTGGCATCACAGGATCAGACGTGTGAAGCTCCCAAAAGATCAAAGGGGAAAGCGGAAATCTATTTCTGACACCCACCCCCCAATAGATGAACAAATGTGTTCAATGCCATTTCTTTGATGGCCAAAAAGCGTGGGGTTGAGTTGGTGTTTTAGTTTCTAGCCCTGGGCTTTGTAGGAGTGCCGGCTCAGATCGCCTTTCTCTGTGCCTCGAAAGAGGTCAGCTGGGATGCTTCACCGCGGTATTTTTCTGGGAACAACTGCCGGGGTGCCGCATTGGCGGGCTGCCTGTTGGCTTTGACTTGGTAGCAGTGGAGAGTTGCTCTGGGTGGGGTGAGTTGTGGCTGTGCTGAGATCTTTATGGGCATTGGCAAAGGGCTGATCTCGGGATGCTGTTGGGTGGGTTTAAGGTTGACTTTGGGTCGGTTTGGGTTGGCTTAGAGCTGACTTCTGCCAGGCGTGCGGCTGGTGTAGCAGTGGCTTTAGGGTTGCTTTAGGGATGAGGTTGCGCGAGATTCGGGCTAACGAACCAACACAAGAACAAACGGTTCCCCCGGTCGGCCCGATACCTCAACCCCCTCTTCCATACACTTCATTTCCGGCGTGGGGATCAAAAGGGACATTTGTAGAACGCCGGCAAGATGGGCCAAAAGGCATTTTGGGCCCTTTCAAAGCAGCCCCTTTGGGGCAAACACAAACAAGAAGAACCTTCTCACACAGTCCGAAAGATTCCAAGCCATTTGGAACAGTCTTACAAGAGAAGCCGAAGGGAACGCAACCAGACACCCCGAGTGGCCGACCGGCTCAATTGACTCGCCAGTCTGTCACAGATTGATTCTGGATTCGCCAACAAACCTACCTCAGCTTTTGAACCTCCATTTGGTTAAGACGCCTGGACAACAATAAAATATTTCACGTAGTGATAGATTCCCTTTAAAACCAACAGGGGAAAATAACAATATTCTTAAGCAAATGGACGTAACTATTTGTCATTTTATTCCGATCCATATTTAGATAAACTAAAACTGCAAAATCAAGTGGAAAGAGATCCAGAAAAATTGGACACCCAGCAAGTAAGAAACAGCGGGCCCTGAACACCGCAGGTGTGAGGCCAAGCGCGAAACTGGGTTGCCGCCCCAAAGGACCAAAGGGCTAGAGCCTCATAGAGCCTCCTTTTCGGAGAAGCCCAAGCTCTACAAGGGGAGTCCCTTTCTCTCTTAAAGAGGGAGTCTTAAAGGCAATCCTTGGGTTCCACCCACCCTTTTGGAAGAGAGACTGACTCCGCGGGTAGAATCCCTCTTCAGTAAGAGAAGCTAAATATAAACTTGCCGGCAAGGTTGCGGACAAGGCCGAAAGAGGTAGGCGGACAGCAGATCCCTGCTGCGCACCGCCGTGGACGGCTTTCGGCCCAAAGTGGCGGCCACCTCTTCGGAACCTAAGCCGGCGAGGTGTGGAGCCAAGCCGGAGACATTTTCGGGTGTCATAGGTCCCGAGGTCTCATTTTGGGGACCAGAAAAGGGTCCCAAATCCTAGGACAACCCACGGGAAGGAACCCAAACATCTGGTTCTGTGGGATCTGGAAATAGATGAACAGCTTTCAATTGGCAGCAATTGGCAACCTTCGGAAAAATGGGAGACCAAAGGATCAAGGCAGTAGTTAACAGTAAACACATCCCAAAAACTGCTGGTTGGAGGTGCCATGCTCATTGCCCGAAAAAGACAGCATTGATTTTGCTTCTGCCCGCAAAGGCTGGCAGGCATTCAAAGAGACCTGAAATAAGGGCTCCCCACTGGTCAATGCCCAACCTGAAAACCTCACATTTACGTCTTGTCTAATTCCCAAGTTGCAAGGTGTCGTGAGTGGCAAACGCTTTAGATAAGAAGTGTCAAACGGGTGGTGTTACCGGATGTCTTGTTCTAAAGCGTGTTCAAAAAAGAGGGATAGTTCAGTTCCTTTGGCACCTTGAGCTGGAGTTTGCTTGCGCAGGTAGTGAAGCTCCGCATCTTGTAGATCAGGGAAATGACAGTTGGGGGGCGGAAACGCATGGTAAAACAGGAAGATTAATCCTCCAATTTGGTGGGTGTTGTGATGAATCCAAGCAAGATACGTCTTCAACCTCGGGACCCTCTTTAAGGCATGTTTGATTGAAGGGAAATCAAAAGGAAACCAAACTGGAATCAAAAAATGGCCAGGAAAGTAACATCCTCTTGGTTGAGTTCGTACTCCCTTTCGTAGAAACTCTTCATATTTTTTGAAGCATCGGCCACCAAACAGACAAACACATCGGCCTTCCTAACAGTTCATACGTCCGCCCCCATGTATTCTTTAAACACAAACAACAAGGACAGTTTAAATAAATAAGTAAATAGACAAAGGACAGTTTAAATAGAATAATAATAGTAAAATAAGATGAGAAACAAAACAAAAAGAACAAGGACCTTGTGGAAGCCAAGTGGCAGGAAGATGTGAGAATGGCGTAGCCTTCCTCATCTGGCAGTTGCATGAGAAACCGCTCCTGCACCACGTCTCGATCACCTCACAGTGGCTCGCTATGGAGCCATCTGGGGGGGGGGATGGAGGTCGAGGCGGCGAAAGAGCCATGCCATACCATGCCAGATCTCTACGCCTTCATTTGGCGGAAAGATGGCACATCTCCCCATGGCTTGCCCAGTCGATTCTGCCAGGGTCTGGTGTGCTGGGGCTCCATGGTCCGAAAGGAAGCTGAAGCTCAAGCTCAGGCAAGGTGAGGCGAGTAACATGGGGCAGTGGATGCCTTGCCGTGTCGGTGGGAAAATATTTCAAGAACCGCTGCCCTTCACTTTTCAGGACTTCTACAGTGGGGTCCCGAACTCCATGTGCAAGAGGTCAAAAGGTGAAAAGCATCGAACAGGGCAAAAGGCGCGTAGGAGCCCAAGCCATGTGGAGAATCAGATTTCGGGCTTCTTGATATCAGTCTATAGGACGATTCCATCTTCAACCCCTGCCAAGGCGAATACGAAACCACGCTCTTGCGCACTCAAAGGCTCAAAGTCGAAACCAACCACCAACTCACCAACAAGACAGTGCAATCCAGCGCAAAGCTTGGATCAGAGATCAGGAGCTAAACTGGTTGGGATTTCTGACCAAATCTAGTCCCTCTGAGGGACATCCAAAGGCCGTCTTTGGTCAACTGCTTATGTAAACCAATGCCAACTGAGCTATTTGCTGCCTGGATTCAGGGAGCCCCCTACGTCCTTCTCAAGCGTCGTCAAACATCCGAACAAGGGGGAGGCTGTAAGGGCACCAAGCCCCTTTCAGCACCTACAAGATTCCAACCCATTTCCCGCCCCCAACCCCCCCCCCTTCCCCTACTTCCTTGCAAGAACTCGCGGCCTTACCAAGTCCTCGAAGGAAGACAGGGACTTTATCGGCTTGCGGGTTGCGAGTTCGTGGGGGGTTAGGAGAGCACAGCCTGGGATCGAGTGACAGTCTTGCAACTGGGGACCTTGCACCCCACACTTTTGGCAATAGATCTGAAGCCCCAACATGTCTTAGAGATTCTTGCAGCCAAAATGATTATATATATGTATATATAGTGTGATGTTGAAGCCCAAACAACGCACTCCATCTCCCACCAGACCCACAATCGGGTCGGCAAACAGAAAAGACATCTCCCACAACAAGGGAGGCAAAACAGGTACCCTGGCAAAGCTGTTCATGTAACATCAAAGGATACAGTCGCAGAAAAAAACAAGTGCCCTTCGCAGACCCCTACCAACCACACACCAGAGGAACCCAAAGAGTGCAAATCCGCAGGCAGGAGCGTTTGCCAACATCAAACAAGTTGTTCGATTCTGGCACATGTTCAGTGAACCTTGAACATGTGACAAGAAAAATCAACGCCGATCCCTCCGGAAAGAAAGAAAGAGAGGAACCACAAGCACATTCTGCTGATCTCGTGCAAGTCACTGACCCCAAAGGCAATGGACACCCGGGAATAGATGAAATCTCTTCTCGCCCTGCTGGACATCTGTACTCCTGGCGTCGCGCTCAAGAGTCTCGACCAGAAGGCCCTTTTCCCCTCCCCCCAAATCCACTGAAGGAGGCAACAAGAACAAGAAAACCCAGTCTGCAGGCACAGCAGCATGGGTCAACTGTAATGGTTCACCAGACCAAAGTTCAGGCGTCCGCATGGCAGGAATCCTTGTCACAGAGCCCTAGAGGTCGCGAACCACCTTGCGAGGTCCCAATTTCTCCCCCACAATTAGGCCAAAATGTCCGGATGGTAAGGGGAAACCCCTCCAACCATGACATGACCCCTGAACCTGAAAACCCAACGGACTTTTACCACACCTCCAGTAGCACCGGCAAAGTACTCAACAAGGTAGAAAGCTTCGCACGGAGAACGACAGCAACTTGGCTGCTGTTGACCCCTCCGCAAGAAGTGGAACGCTTTTGTGGGTCCAATGGAAGATCCACTCTTTCCCAAGGAGTTAAAGTCCAAAGATCCAACCAAGCAGCCGCAAAGGCAAAAAGACCCCATGGTCATTTCCCAGCCGAAAGCTTTGGTCAGCTTCGATTGAAACAGAAAAATCAGGGATCCCAAATGGGCCCTCTTTGTGGCGGTTTGAAAGGACATCCGAAAAGGATAACCATTTTTCTACGTTGTTTTGTTTTTGTGTTTGATTATTTATTTATTTCTTGGGGGGGGGGCGGGGGCGGGGATCCAAAAAGGATTATCACTTTCTACTTCTTCTACTTCTTCTTCTTCTTCTTGGGGGTCGCCGGGGGGGGGGGGGTACCAAAGAGACGCACCCACATAAATCTTCATGGAAGCGTGTCTCGTATACTGTACCCTTCGGTGAACTCGTCGTACTTGGTAGAAACTGATGTCACCTTCCGAGCAAACCTGAATCCAACATTTAAGGGAAATTGAGTTCAAGGCGAGTCATCTGTTGGATCTTGCCTTCCTGTACTACATCCTGCCAAGCTAAGCTTGCCAGGAGTCTCCACCTGCGTCGTAGTTCCATGGGTCATGTGGCACTTAAAATCCGGGTCTGCTGGCTGAGGCTTGGCAAGGAAAGGCTTGGAAGTCTCAGGAGGGGGTCTCCCCCAAAGCCAGGGGGTTCAAATCCCAAGCCACCAATCCACAATATGGCCATGGGTGAAAATCCCGGTTACCAGTGAACATCCCAATCCCCACTCAAATAGGTTCTAAAATGGGTGGTGAATTCACCTACCCACGGCCAAACCACCAATCCAAAAGATCCCTCAGTTGTTCTGTGACCCTGGAGAAAAAAAGGGAACCCTTTTCGGGGAAGACCCGTTTTAGTGGGGCAGCCACCAAAAAAGGGGGAAAAAGGGTGCCACTGAACAACTGAGATGCTGAACCCGTCGCTCGCCCGTGCGGCGCAAATAGCTCTTCCTCCGCTGCAGATCCTTTCGTGCTTCACGAAGGGGCTGCGATCCCATTTCAGGCGATCCGGAGGCGAGTAGATGGACCACAGCACCTCGGCCAACTCAAGGCGCTTCACTCTGCACTAGTTGTACTCATTCAACAGGATTCCCGACTTGTTCTTTCAAACGTCACCAAACAAACACAACTCCTAAGAATCACCCGTAAAGACAGTATAAGGACCCCTGACCAACCAAAAACAAGGCAACACCTCTTTTCACACCCGAGACTGCCAAAGTCTTTCTTCATGGGTGCAACAACATCGAATGTCTGGACTTGGAGGAGCAAGTGGCTGCCAAGGGAGGGGTGTCGGTGGACCCATTTCAGGGGTTGCTTCCACCTTTAGCAAGGAACCCGCGGTGGAATTCAATTCACTTCAACCAGGCAACCCCAACTGAGGTCCCAAAATCCGTAGGATTCCAAGCCCGTGCCCTAACCCTGGTTGCATTGCAGGACCTCAGGACCTTTGGCTCTTGGAGCCGTTCGGGTTGGGCCGCCGAACGAATCCGCGCAAAACCCCCGCGAGGCGCCGCTTCCAGGGGCAGCCGCGTGTCGATGCGGGCCTCCGATGCCACAAAGGGCACCGGCACCTGGGGCGCCTCGGCCATGGCAAGGCGAAGCGCAAACTGGGCAGAAGGAGCCATAGTCTCAGTTGCCCAAAGAGCCTGGAACTAAATGATCACCTTTTGGGGTGACTAAATATGGACATGGGAAAACCAAAAGGACAAAAGGTCGGCTTTGCACAACTGAGTAGTGGCTTTTGATCAAAACCGCGTCTTCGTCACTCTAGTCAGACTCTAGTCTGCCTTGAGCGGATTGGCACAGCTCTCAGACTAGGAATGTTGCGGCCAGGCCCAAGTAGGGGACGTTGTTTTGAATAGGACGGGTACAAGGGATGAAGGTGCCCTCTTAGAGGGCTTTAAGAGAAAGGGAACCATTCCAACGCATTTGGAGGCAGACCCAAAGACAATACTGGCACAAACTCGAATCGGAAGGCCGGCGGTCGGGAAACCCTTCTGGCCTCTCTTGACTCAAGAAATCCGAATCGAGACCTCAATCCATTTTCCTGTCCAATGGAGACGCCTCGATGTCCCTCTGTGGCGAGCACTCCCCTGAACAATCAGAGCGGGTTCAATACCAACACAACCTTTGAATTGTCAAAAGCTGTCAGCTTTGGATGTATGGATATGAGCCAGGGCCAGCATTTTCATGGCAAAGATTTAGATGAGCGTGTCGTGGCCTTGTGCCTATTTTGTCCTGTCCACTTAAAAACATACCATAAATAAGGTTCCCCCTCAGTAACGTTCCCTAACCGTTCCCCCGCAAACCAACACTACTAACTAGACTGCCAATAATACTGTCAGTCGCGCGACTCTGTCCGAGTCACATGGCTCCTAAGAAACTATTCACAAACCATTGTTGGTTTCATCATTCCGGGCTTTCGTAGGTGCCAACGAATTTCCTGCACAGTTGTTTTTCTAAAAAAAAAAAAACCTCCAACCCATGGACCTCCGATCTCCGATCCGATCCGCCAAAGATCCCGCCTCGCAAAACCAGACGTTCGCGATGTGGGACTCCACCATAAGGTGGATGCTGAGGCCATCCAGCTTGTCATGCATGGAGGGGTTCTTGCACGCCTCAACCGGAACGAAACCGGAAGGTCAACTGAAGAAGGGGGGAACCAGAGGGGTGGTTCTTTGGGAGGTGGTAAACAGGAGAGAAGCCTTTCAGGATTGCTCGAAATCCTGGCAATGATGGGGAGCCCTTGAACCTTGGTTCATTTTATCAAGAAGTGATCAGGCAACTGTTTGCGTGTGTGGGTGTGTGTGTGTGTGTGTCAAAAAAGGGCACCTTACAAAATAAACTGGCTGTGAAACCACCCCCAAACCACAACACACACATACACATACACAGACACATTTTGACCAACCCCCTCGCGAGGTCCAAGGCACCCTCGAGATCTCGAGCACTCGCTGGCACAGCTCCCGGGCGTCCTTGCCAAAGGGCACATCCACGTAGTCTGCCACGTTCTGGCCTGCGATAAATCGTGCGCCTTCTTTTTCGGGTATCCTCCCGGCAACTGATACGGAACTTGAGAGGGTGGAAGACCATCTGCCTATTGAAAGGACCCGGTGGGCTCGAGGTTGATTGGCGGGAGGGTACCTTTCTCACCTTGGTGCAAATTGCGAGAAACATAATCATGTTGGAAGTTCCCAGCCACATGAGTGCTTCGCACCAGCTTCTGTCGAAGATGCACAAACTGTCTGTGTGAGCAGCATGTTGTGTGTGTGTGTTGTGTGCTGTGTGTTGTGTTGTGTTGTGTGTGGCGTGTTGTGTTGTGTGGTGTGTGTTGTGTTGTGTGTGTGGTGTGCTGTGTGGTGTGTCAATATGTTATGTTGTGTGTGGTGTGGTGTGTACGGTGTGTTGTGTGCTGTCGTTTGTGTGTTGTGGTGTGTGTGTGCGCGTTCTTGTGGTGGTGTGTGTGTGTGTTGTGTGTTGTGTGTTGTGTGTTGTGCTGTGTGTGTGTGTGGTGTGTTGTGTGTTGTGTTGTGTGTTGTGTGTGGTGAGTGGTGTGTTGTGTACTGTGTGTTGTGTGTTGTGTGTGTTGTGTGTGGTGAGTGGTGTGTTGTGTACTGTGTGGTGTGTTGTGTTGCGTGTTGTCGTTTGTATGTGTGTGTTGTGTGTGTGCTGTGTGCTGCGTTGTTTGTTGTGTGTGGTGTGTTGTGTGGTCCGTGTGTTGTGGTGTGTGTGTTTTGTGATGTGTTGTGCGTTGCGTGTGTGTGTGTGTGTGTGGTGTGTGTGTGTGGTGTGTGGTGTGTGTGTGTGTGTGGTGTGTGTGTGTGGTGTGTTATGTTGTTTGTCGTGCGTTGTGTGTTGTGTTGTGTGTGTGTGTGTTGTGTGTTGTGTTGTGTGTGCGTGTGTGGTGTGTTGTGTCTTGTGTGTGTGGTGTGTGGTGTGTTGCGGGTGGTGTGTAGAGTGTTGTGTGTGTTGTGTGTTGTGTGTGTGTGTGCGTGTGTGTGTTGTGTGTTGTGTGTGTGCTGTGTGCTGTGTGCTGTGTGCTGTGTGCTGTGTGCTGTGTGCTGTGTGCTGTGTGCTGTGTGTTGTGTTGTGTTGTGTTGTGTTGTGTTGTGTTGTGTTGTGTTGTGTTGTGTTGTGTTGTGTTGTGTGTGCGTGGCGTGTTGTGTTGTGTTGTTGTGTTGTGTTGTGTTGTGTTGTGTTGTGTTGTGTTGTGTTGTGTTGTGTTGTGTTGTGTTGTGTGGTGTGTGTGTGTGTGAGTGTGTGTGTGTCTGTGTTTGTGGGTGCGTGCGTGCGTGCGTGCGTGCGTGCGTGCGTGCGTGCCTGCCTGCCTGCCTGCCTGCCTGCGTGCCTGCGTGCCTGCGTGCCTGCGTGCCTGCGTGCCTGCGTGCCTGCGTGCCTGCGTGCCTGCGTGCCTGCTGCGTGCCTGCGTGCCTGCGTGCCTGCGTGCCTGCGTGCCTGCGTGCCTGCGTGCCTGCGTGCCTGCGTGCCTGCGTGCCTGCGTGCCTGCGTGCCTGCTGCCTGCCTGCCTGCCTGCCTGCCTGCGTGCCTGCCTGCCTGCCTGCCTGCCTGCCTGCGTGCCTGCGTGCCTGCGTGCCTGCGTGCCTGCGTGCCTGCGTGCCTGCGTGCGTGTGTGTGGGTTACAGTGTTTCCGTGTTTCTGCGTTTCTGCGTTTCTGCGCTTCTTTGCTTCTGTGTTTCTACTGTGTTTCTGTGCTTGTCTGCGTGTCAACGCCAAGTCTTGTTCACCACTCACATGGTCTTCCCACAGTTGAATTGCAGGAATCGGGGAATGCGTTTCCTGGGAAATTGGAGTTGTCAAAGACCTTGGCACAAGAGTAGAAGGGTTGGTCCGAAGGAACACCAAAGGCAACTGCTAACAACAATTCTACCCCAAGCGGGTGTTAACAGTCTTTCAGAGGTTCAGGGCAACCCTGTTTAAACAACGTAAAAATAGCAAGCAAAGTTGAGCCAGCAAATTAGAGGACACCTCAACGTTCTTTACGATCCCAATTAGAGAAACAACCTCGACTCCAAGTTTTCAGGGAAACCGGGCAACCGGCACCAAGCAAACCAGTTCATTGGACAAGTCATGCGCGAAGACTAGATCTCCAACTTGGCTTCCTAAGACATACATTGTGGAACAGTCTGGCCGTCAATTTCCCAAAGGAAAGCCGAAGTCCATTCGGAAGGACACCACATCCTTGGATGCGAGGGCCCGTCCGTGGTTTTTCTCACGGGTGTGATAGGAGACATGCAAGGAACTCTGACACCCCATGACTCACAAACAAAAGCATGGTTTCAAAAGAAGGTCTTATTTTCTGCTGGCTTTTCCAGGATGTAAACCCTGGACTCAAGCGTCCCGGCACCAAAAAGTGCACCCAAAGCCGCCTTGGAAGACCGGCTCCCCATGGGCGCCCGTGTCGAGGGCAGGCCAGCGCGCCTTTTTTCGGACGGCTCCAGTGGGAGCGATTCTAAGATGAGAGGTGCAGGACACCAAGCTTCTTTTGGGTCCTCCAGTAGAGAGGTTAGATACCCGAGTTTTTTCCTGTAGTCTAGCTTAGTAAGGGAACCCTCCCCAAAAAAAGGGTAAAAGGGTACTACTGGGTAACCTAGTCTGGTACTTGAGAATGCAAAAGCCCTCCATAACAATTTGTTGAGTGGAGGTCTGGGAACAGAGTTGGCTGAGCTGTTTTGGGTTCAAAAGCTTTGTGCTTTTTTGGTGGGGGGCCACATGGCTGTTCACGCAACGTTTATTGAACCGTCAACATAACTGCTGAGGGTGTACTCCTTGAGATGTTACCCCCCTTATATTAAAAAAACAAAACATACACAAAATGGGGACACCGCACTACCCTTTGGCTATGTGCCGGGCATGCATGGCTTTACACATATGTATGTTCCTATGGATGTCTATAGAAAATTGACGGCTTGCTTGATTTGGAGGCATTAGGGCTACGCCCTCGAGAGTGCATAGCAACAGTCCTTACCTGGCGCAAGCGAGCGCTGGGACTTCCTGCCCTCTGGTCCTCTCCGCTTCTCTCCCCCGGCCAATAGGACTGCGATATTTACCTTATCTTATCTATCTTATCTTGGGTGCTGTAGATCCCCCAGCCAAACAGTTTAACTTTTTGCTGGTTAAAAGGAAATATGCGGGGAATCCAAAAAGTTAAAGTCTAAAGATCCAACCCAATAGCAGTGCAGTTATTACCTTATGTATCTTATCGATCTTAAAAAAAGGACATTGTGTTTCTTTTTAATGTATCCAGTGCCGGGGAGGACCATCATTGATCAGGGGAACCTTTTTGACTAAAAGGCTTTGAATCAGGGTGCCCTTGGTGCGCCTGTCAAACCAAATTGTTTTGTGGAAACAGACAGTAGGACCAAATTTGTTCTTTCTGGGTAGCTGCTGTTTTGGAGATGAGGTATGGCAATCCATGGAACTCTGAAAGAGAGGAGTACTCGAAAAAAAACATCCGCGATAGCAACTTCGAACTGCATTTGCTCATTTTTTGGAGGTGGGATATTCAGGGGGGGAGGGAAACGGTAAAAAGTATTCGCGCTGCATTTGCTCATTCGGGGGCTGTTGGATTTTCATTGTGGGGGGGGGGAAGGTTAGCACTACTTGTAAAGGGTTCTTGGGGCTGAAATAGTGGCCTCCTCCAGCGGCAGCACCAAAGGCGGCCGAAGGCCCTTCAAGCGATGTGGCAGGAGCCTGGCGCCCGATCGTCCTTATCGTGAGAGCTGGCGTACAGAACGCTAGGTCCTCCAGTAGAGAGGTTAGAATAAGTTGGTGCCCGATTTTTTTTGGTAGTCTATTTTAGTAGAGGAACCCTCCCAACCAAAAAAGGGTTACTACTGGGGGACCTAGTACTGGGATATGCAGCCAGTTTGGTTTTCCACGGACAATTATCGGAAATCCAAATTTGTTGAGGGGGATTCCTCATCTTCCGCAATCCCTAGTGGGACTGACACCGTTAAAAGGGAAACCACTGTCATTTGGCGAAAGGTTTATTTATTAATTTCGAACAGTACAGCAATAAGATATGATTATGCATTCCAGCGTTTGCTGCCTTTTACACACCAAACATGTAGAATGTATCCTAGCTCTATATAGCCCAGAATTGAATCCTGCCTTTGAACAATCCGAAGATCCTTTTCTAGAGAACGAGACTCACTGAACAGCAAACCGGGGGAGCTAGGCCTATCCATGACATGCGCAAGTGGATCGAACACAGGGTATACTGTCTGATCCCGCTTGAAAAAAGACAAATGGACCCTTGAACAGAGGCAACTTTTGGACACACGCCCACCTTGCAAAGCCAGTCACAGATTCTGGCAAACCACGGGAACTGCAGTTGCCCCAATTGCAATCGAAACCCGGTATTAAAATGGTCTACCCAGAACCATGTAAAGAATTAAGAAGCGGCCGCAACTATTTCTGGCTGGGACCGCCCCTTACCAAAATTCATTTACCCGGGTTTCGACTGAGATATAGGTCGCAAAACCACCCTTGTGAGGTTGCTACCCTGCTAGTTGTGCAGATTAACGTGCTTGGAATGTGTCTGATCTACAAAGTACATCTCTGGGTGAGAGTTTGGCCCAAATTAGTTTACGCTCACAATCTGAAATTGTAAGGGAGCTCCCATAAGATCCCTTTGCTAACGAACGTAGATCACGGCATCTGTTTTGCCCCCATCCCTCCCCAAAAAAAAGCAGGGCTTGGGATGCTTGGATCAGCTGAAGCTATGTAACACTGAGCTTGGAAGATTGCTCGCTGAGTTCTAACGGTGGAAGTACATACCCCTTGTTCATACCGGTCCCTTGGCTTCCAGAGTTTCCAACCACTTTGTATGGGCTATATAGCCCTTGTGGGGGGAGGGATATGAACATCAGGCCTGTTGCGTTTGCCCCTTGAGGTATGTAATAGGGGTACAACCACCCTGGATGCGGGTGTAACTGGGCTTTCAAATTGAGCTAGCGTTCTGAGGTTTAGCACAAACCATGCCTGTCTTCATCCATCCTTGCTGGTGCGATAGGTAGGGAACGTGGGAATGAACCCGAACGGGAGTCCCAAATAAAGGAAACCACAAGGGATTGTTCCCCAACAGCTGAAAGCTTTGGGGTCTCAGCCCAGATAGACTGCGGGGTGGTCCGGGGCGGGCCCTGAGGTAAGGTTCCACGAGGGTTCCACCACTGGGGTTCCACCAGGGTTCGACGAGGTTCTGCGAGAGCTGTGGAGTGGTGCGAGCACAAAACAGAGCACCGCATGCTGTTGGGGACATCACTTGAGCTTATCTATCTAACATACATATATGTATATGGGTACTTCCCGCATTCCCTGCTCAGCACCAGGAAGCTTCGGTTGGCTTCTGGAGGAAAGCCACCATTCCTAGAGTTAAAATCAAATCCTGGTAATGTACACAAAGATTGGGTTTGAAAGGGGGCTCGGCTTTTCGAATCCACTGAACTTGGCCAGGCTTACATGCAGATGGTTTTATTATTTCTGCGGAAAGGGAACATGAAGGAACCCTACATGGCAAAAGGCATCAAAAAGGTCAGTTGAGGGGGGGGCCTTCTGCTGCTGTGATCCCTCAGGATCCCCTGAAATGCGCGCTGCTGTAGGTGTCTTTGGGTTCTGAAATTTCAAATTTCAACACGGGGCCCGCAGGTGTGAGAAACACGTGAAACCTTGCTGGTGCGATAGGGAATGTGGGAATGAACCGAAAGCGGAGTTCCGAATAAAGGAAACCACCAGGGATTGCTTGTTGAATATAACATGAAGGGGCCATTTCCTGCATCTCTCGCACCAGCAAGTTTACGTCGGTCAACCTGAAGTGGTCCAACAAAGAACATGAAGAACTGTGCTCATCAAAATGGCCAGGGCCTGGCCTTCTGAAGTGCGTGTCCAGCGCGAAGGACCTGAAAGAGGTATGTTGGCCACGCCCTTGGGCTGGGGAGGGGAGGGGGGAGAGGGAGCCCTTGTTAAGCCCGAAGTAAGCGGCCTTTCTCAAGGCTTATTTGGGCTCCCTCCCCTCCCCCCATCCCTTCAGGCCCCAAATATTCCAAACATGTGCCGACCGTGGTTAGAACCACCTTCTTTTGGCGTCCAAGGAATCCTGGAGGTGGTTCCTTAAACAACATATGCCCAAACCTTGCCCCTCGCCTTCCAAACATTGATTGGGGGGTTGGGAGGGGGAGGGGTGAGAACGGAGCACTTTTGCTCACTGAGATGACATAAGCAAACATTCCGGGCCATATTCGGTGACCGTCGGTGACCCTTTAAGACTGAAAAGAGGCGAAAAGAGGCGAACTCATCCTCCACAAGCACAAACCCCCCGGCCATGTCACTCCTCTTGGAAGGTGTGGCCCAGTTTGCCGTTGTCGTATCGCAACTCTATAGGAACCTCTGGGACATGAGCAACCACTTGTGATATCAGAGGCTTCCCCACAGCTTTGTCAATTGACATGGGGTGCCCTTAAGGCATCACATGGCAACCAGAACCGGAAGCCCAGATTTCCACCTGCCCCACATGCTTGGTGTCATGTTGGCTGTCCCTTTGGTTCCCTGCAACAAGCCCATCCCTAAAGCGGGGTCTACTTTTGACGGCAATGTTTGGCTCTAATCCTATTTCATGTTGATTGATGTTGGTCCTATTTGGATTTGAATCGTGTTTGATTCAGTTGATTTTGGCGCATTGTGGATTGTGGTCCTAGCTTTCGGCCCATGCTGGTCGACTGTACACCCAGTATGGTCCCATGTTGGCAGAAAAGTGTCGCAACTGGCTCCCGGTTACGGGCTTGGCAATTTTTGGTGGAGACCGACCAATTCACACTGAGAAAACGGGCGCCATGGAACAACTGCGAACAGCACGGGGCCGAGACGAGCATGTGACTCTTCATCAAAAAAACCACTCTCACGCCGAGTAGCAGTCGATCCTCGATCATCGGCGCCGGCCTTGCAAACGAGCAAACATCGCTAAACGGGCATCACCGGAAAAAGATGCAGGTTAGTCCAAAAACCACCTCTTTGTTAACTCTAACATTGAAGTCCCGTATTTTGTGTCGACTTCCGCGTTGGTTTGGGCACCGGCTCCCTCAAACCCACCAAAAACCCTATCCCCCCCCCTCCCCCCTGCAAACACACCAAGCCCCGACGATTCGCTTCCGGCAAAAACTTGCGGAGATTCGGTTGACCCCATGTTATCTCCAAAGGAGCCGTCACAGCCTGCGTGAGCCATGAACAAGATGTGTTGTTCCCAAAACAACGCCGGAGGAAGTTGGGCGGGCACCCTGGATGCTCACATCCTGAGTACGCTTGTGTTGCAACCGTTTCAAAAGCTGGCCCAGCTTTTGCTGGCCCAGCTTTTTTTAAAACCACTATCAAGTCACCCCCAAAGTGGGATAAAGGGAAGCCACCCTCTGATTTTCATACCCCCGAGAAACAGTCAAAACCAATTACCCCACTGCCTGAAAGATCCTTTGAGTCTAAAAATAGCCTCGCGGAAATTTAGACTACAAAGCTGCGCCGAGTCTAAATTTGTAGTCTAAATAGCGCGTCTAAACTGCGAGTCTAAATCACGCAAATGCATATAAACACCTTGTTGCACCACTTGTTTTTGCATAGAACAGCGCAGCAAGCGCGCCATTATTTGTGTTTCTCTCGTGTTGTTTATATGCGCAGCGTGGCGGGAGGATGTGTGGCTGCGAAGCCCTGAAGTGTGAGAGCTTGAGAAAATTGTCAGAGATTTTGCGACGCACACCCATTGTATATAGGAACCACGGCCCAAAGTTTAGAAAGCCCAGACACTGTTTTTGTCACAGGCCGCAAAGCAAGCAAGAGCTGCAAAGTACAAGCTGTCACAGAGGTACAAACTTGTGTGCAACAGTTCTCTGCCTTTTTGTACACTTGCCCTGCGCGCAGCCATTGGATTGTACACAGGACACTTGCGCCGCATGCATCTTTTGTACTGTGAGGCTTGTACTTGTGCTACACGAACTCCAAGTTGTGTGCCACAAACGCCTGCGTGCTTGCCGCAGCTGTGTGGGTTTTTTCCATATATATACTTGTCCTCTACATGTGCAAGCCTTTTCTGGGCCATGAACACGTGTGCGGATGAAGCGTGCGCCGTCGCCCTGGCCTTGAAGGCGTCTCGCCCGGACAAGGACGAGCAACGGCGGCTTGGCGGTGGCGAGGTGGAGCTGGTGAGAAACTGCGTGCAGTACTACCAGGCGAGCAATTTGGATGGGAAGCCCCACGAAGTTCTGGCTTGGTTTGCAAACTGCTTGCTGCGCATCCGATGCAATTTGGAGAGGCAGTTCGTTGACCCGGACGCAACCTTGTTGCCATCTACGTTGCCAGCAGCTACTGAGTGCGCGGCTCCTGTGCATCCGGACCTGGATGTACTTGTTTGGGAGCTGGAGGATGCTGCCAAATTTCTTTCTGAGACCAAAGAGTTTCACGCGGCGCACTGGCATTGGTTGGGATCTTTGTTCGGGGAAAGCCTGGCAGTTTTGAAGTTGGAACAAAGCCGCCAGTTGATTTAAGTTTGCGCTCAAGGATGTCCATTTTGTGACATCGGCTGCGTTCGGCGGCTTGTTTGTGCGAGAAAAGTGTGTACACCTTGTGTGGGCGGACCCATCACGATACGCAGACCCATTGCTTGTACCATGCGTGCCCATCACACATGTGTGGATAGAGCGCGCAGGCCTTCCGCAATAATTGTACTATATATATTGTATTGCGCAGGCGCTTCGCAGGCCCCTTTGGCTAGGCCCCTTTGGTTGTGTTGCGTAGCCTTCCGCTTGCTCGGTTGCCACTCTGTATTAAATACTGGCGCTTGTATTTACTGTGCGCAGGCCTTCCACACACATTTTTGTCAGCTTTGCAAGTGTGATGAAATTTTGTTTTATTCCGGGAGCTCCTTTTTCGAACTTTTTCGGATTAGTGCAAGATACCTGTGCTATGGCGCGTGACCAGTTCGCCGCAATGCGCACCTTGCTGGAGGCTTTCGAGGCGCAGGTCATGGATCGCTTTGAGGAAATCCAGGAGAGTCTCGACGGCCTGAGTCAACAACTCACCTACCTGGAGTTCGTCTACCGCTGTTATCGTACACAGCCCGAGGCGATCAGCGGTGAGAAGGGCTCGAAGGGCGAGAAGGGCGAGAAGAGCGAGAAGGGCGAGAAGGGCAAGAAGGGCGAGAAGGGCGAGA